CTCTATTTTCGATATTAGCTATGCGCATTCTCTTCTTGGTCAGTTCAGAATCCTTACTGAGACAGTGTTCATCCGCAATGGTCTAACACCGAGAAAAAATTAATTATAGCGATCAGCGAGTCAAAGTGGGGTCATCAACTTAGAAATCACTTATGCGGAATGGGGATATCCGACTTTCTGTAGGAAAATTCTTTTTTTTGCCAAAATGATTTTGTGATCTCTTCAGATTATAGAGAACATTGAGGTGTGTAAAAATCTATTTTTTCCGATGCTTTAGCAATTACTGAAGTCACTTTAAGACGTGAAAAATTATGTACTTAAATTACCCTTGTTTTTTTTTACATTGTCAGCTCGACATTTTTGTTAATCAACCTCTATATGCATATTTTACCAAAACCTTACATCACTAATTATGTTTTATTAAATATTATTTTTTAACGAAAAACTCAAAAACAAACTGCAAGTCGGATGAAACTGTGTTTGAACACTTTTTTACTTAATATGATTTTTACGGTTAATTATCAGATAATGAAGGTTTAAGGTTCTGAAAAAATGCTATAAACGAATCAAAAACTGTTCTCTATCTATTCTAGATATGAAGTTTCACTTAAGTTCAGTTTTAATTGTATAGTAGACCAAATGAGAATGTCTTGCTGAAGAAAGACGGAAGTATAAACGCCAAACTATATTTCTATATTCAAAATCTTTTTTATTTTTATTAGGGTTTTTTTACACAGTGTAGTGATTTTATTTTGTCGTTTTTAGTCGCATACAAAATTGAATCCATAAAAAGAACTCAAATGTTGGCACTCTTTTTTCCATGTACATTTTCTATGAAAAGTGGTATAGAAATGCCTCAAGTTTTGCCATAACAGATATCATGTCTTACATGATTGTATCTAACAGAACGAATTCATATTCACATGAATAAGACAAAGCGCATCTGAGACATGTGAAAATAACTAGTTAGTAAATACTTACAAGCGAAAATGCGAAATAACCAAAAATTATTCAAACATACAAGGTTCCAAATATTATAGTGGCTTTAATAATAGTCAAAATATATATTGGAAGATATTGACTATGTAATCAAGAAAAAGTAATCGACTATTGTAATTTGATAGTTGTGAAGAGAGAGCGAAAGAAAATAATTTTAAAACAATCTCAATCTTTATTAAGGAAAAGAAGAAAAATGATTATTTTTTAGAGCTAAGCGAAGCAGAATTTAGCTAAAATAGAGTGAAAAGAAATGTAAAGCAATTTGAATGTATGCTAATAAAACACAAGAGAGAAATAATGATTTTTCAGAACTAATGTTTTATTACATTGCTTTTTATATAAAATTAATTTTTTTGATATATAAAAAATAAGATTGTTTCTTTCTGAATTCAACAGGCCTATAATTGATACAAGGTATACTTAACTTTATCTGTATGAACAGAAAGTCTGTATATACCCGGCTATCCGTGTAAAAATCAGCTCATTTACTCAGGTCTTAAAGGAGATATTTGTGCCTTTGGTGCGTGACTTTTCGACCATCCCGTATTTATTCGCACTTGAAATTGAAAATCTATTTAAAATAAAACTAGAAAACTATCATTAAAGTATTGCATTTTAAGAAACAAACAATTCAATTTCGATAAATATCTCCTGAACACGAGTTAGGAGTAAAAATAATTGAGTGCATCATCTATCAAAAATGAAAAACGAAACAAACTTTGGAAAATCTATTCATTACATTAAGTCTACTCGAGTTTTTAATCTGTCTTAGTTTTTATATTTAAGTATACTTTGATTTTTTCTTAATCCATTTATCAGTGATTATACCATTGAAATCCTTGAACTTTAGAAGTATAAATAGTTCACGATCAAAGCTTTTTTCTTTGAGGGTGCAAGGAAAAAACTAACGACAACAGTACATATGTAGTTGGTAAAAAGCTTTAAGAAACCTGATAATTCTTATTTAGAGCAAGTAAATTATATTCCATAACAAAGCTTTTGTGTTAGCTCATCATTTCCAACGTTGTTTTCTACAAAATTGATACTTTCTACAGAAAATTTGTCGACAATTTGACACTGATTTATAAAATTCTTCTTTGTACATTGTTGATGGAAGAACATAAACCACAAATGTTAATGACGAAGGAATAAGTGAAGTGCAGTAACTTAAAACATATAACCACGAGCTGTGAGATGCTTTTCCACATCGAAATAATAGTGAAATTACAATAAAAGGTAATGCAACAATAACCAAAAACAATGGACTAATCAGTATAGATTTATGTTGAGAAAATTGTTCTCGAAAATGTTGACGGGTATCTTTATATTTTCGAACTGCTGCCTTATTATGAGACGTTACATATATAATACAAGTAACGCTCATTGGATTTGCTGAGCCTTTTCTGAAAGACTTCTCCGAATGCTGAACACATTCACAGACTTTGAAAGAGAAAAAAACGCACTGCGATTGCTATTAGTGCTCAACTGAATCATGGCACTATGTCACACACTAGAATGAATAGGATGCAAAAGTCTTTTTAGGAATCAGACCGATTAGCCATTTATCAGTGGATAATTCTCCAGCACTAACTATATTGACTGAAAAATTCATCGCTCAACGGCTAGTCAGACGGTCAACCATTGACCTTTGTCATCTATTTTTCTATTTTCACATAACGCGCATGGAAATTTTCATAAATGCTTTACTAAGTCACTCATAGACGGACTATATAAAGTAGACTACTTGAAAAGTTTGAACATTCGCCTGTGTCTTCCAGCGATAAAATGATACTTTGTCGAATATTTTCATTGAGGAATATCCCTTCGTCAAACCCCTTTCAAAACTATCGGAAGCCTGGTGAGGTTATTCTAAGCGTACACTTTAGGATTAATCTAGCATTTAAGCGCCTAGTCGTTCACTCACGGCTAGCCGTTGCCATGCTATCTCTCTTATTCCTTTCGTCTTTGATCAACTTCCAAACGGAACGATGGGGTTTTCTTTTATTGTCGCTTCGACAATCATGATCTTCTACTCATTCGACTACCAAAAGAAACTAGATAAGAAAGTCTTATTCTATAATTTGCTTCGAAACGAACATCTTTCATAGTGCTGTATGTGCTCAGAATACTGTTTCTACAGTCCACACGTTTCTAGTTACTAAGATGGAATTCCACTGATGGGTATATCACTTTGTGAACTACTTCTACTAAATTCCCATAAAAAGACATGATGCATGTAGCCTACAAAGCAAAGATGATACTAAGCTCATATCACTTTTTCGGATTTCTTCAATTAGAAACATCATTATGTACAATGCATTAGATCTTTTCGTGTAAGTTCTTGAGCTACTATCTTTGTACGCATGACGTCCGTGAATAGCGTTCAGCTCACCATCATCCACAAAAGATTTTAGAACAGATAAAGTAAAATATCTCCTTTGTAAATAGGAAGGAANCGCATGACGTCCCTGAATAGCGTTTAGCTCACCATCATCCACAAAAGATTTTAGAACAGATAAAGTAAAATATCTCCTTTGTAAATAGGAAGGAACAAGCCCAGGCTCAGCGAATAAAACGAAATTCGCCCTCAAATTCAAATTTCCCCACGTCAGAAATCCTTCGGTCTACTCTGACGATGGATGTTACTAAGTCGGGGCTAGTTAACGAAAAATTAATAATTAATTAAGAAACACTAACGTCGGATTCATGATTCTCGACCCCGATTACCCTTCGGTCGACCCTTACCCGACAACGAAGAAAACTTTCATTACTTAATTAGCTAATTAGAATTTTGAGAAAGTAACCTCGGATTCGTGATCCCCGACCTCGATTACCCTACCGGTAATCATTTTCTAGCAACTATCGATCAATTTCATTGATTTTAGAAATGCTGATTTCTGATTGGATAGGACAGACAGACAAACTTTAAGCTTTTTAACACAGCATTTAAACGCTGTATAACCCTTTCTTTCAGAAAAGAGAATACGCGTCTCGATAAACTGCTGTTTCGACGCATACAGTGAGACAAAAGAAAAAAAGAGCTTAAAGTTGAGGAAAGATCGCTCTCGTATTAATTCAATTTATTATTGTAATTACACTGCAGTGTTGTGTTCTGCCAATGTTTAAGACGAACGGAAAATGAGAAAACAGGTGATTGAATACTAAATCGCTGAAAACTTGTCTATCCGATTCAGATATTTAGTTCTACATCGAATGGCGGTACTTTTATTCACGAAAAAACGATTGAGATCAAGCTCATCTAGATCTTCCTATGTGTTTGTGTATAAAGCGAAAAACTCACCCTCACCCTCTATTGAGGACGTGTTATAGAAGACTTGACTCATCTAAATGGTTGTAACATGCCATTTATTCTATTGTGAAAGATTAAATTACAAACCCCATGTATTCATGTATCACGATTACGTTATCGATTCTACCTTTTCTTTCCATTTCAAAAGAACAATCTGATGGGAATCATTTGTACACGTGAGGGTTAAAATAAATCGTTTGTTGTCTCTCTCGAATCGCACTCGATGGATCCTCATGATTTACGTGCTGCTATATTGAAAATTCAAGATCACCTTAGCGACAATGATCGAAAACGGTTACATTTCTTCTTGGGCCCTGATGTTCCACGACGAATTCGCGATGATCCAACACTGGTTGGTACTATTAATCTAATGGAATCTCTTCTTGATCAAGATAAAATCAACGAACAAGATGTTAGTTTGCTTATAAATGCTTTCGAAAAAACCCAATGTATCGATGCGATGAAAATATTAAAAGGTAGTTTGCCTGTATCTGTCCTATCTTTCAATTTATTACATTCCTATTTGAATCTATGTAGAACATATGAAAAAAATACAGAAAGATGGACATACTCAATCTATGCAAAATCTCGCATTACTTCTTCTGCACGACCAAGAGGACACATGTATTGTAACAAACTGTAAGCACGATAAGATTTTTTTCTGTCCATAAAGAAATGTTTACTACTGTTAGTGGACTCAAGTAAAACAACCAAATCAACAGATAAAAGTCTTCGAAGTATGGAAAATCTAGCAACTGTGTCTGTTAGCAAGCGTCTCAAAAACCTCCCGAGGAAGACAATGAAATTTTTGTTATTGTTGTCCGTACTTTTGAACATTGTGCTGATCATAATTCTGGGCATTTGTATCAAGAATGTCCTAGAACTAAGAAACGGATCAAAGCAAAAGAATTTTACTTCTTCTCCTCCACAAATATCATTCCCGCGGACTCCAACAAATCATTGTCTAGAAATTCACAGTAAAGTTATTCGTTTTCATAAATTATAGACACGTCTACTCGTACTTTTCTAGAGCCACCACATAAAATGCCAGATGTAGTTTGGATGAATGCTCGAGATGGTGAAGTCCCACCGTTCTCTGTTGCTGGTGGTCGAAGTGGTAATCGAAGTATATACATAGCACGTGTTGAATGGCGCGATTGTACCATTCCAGCTCAGCTTGTTGCTGGTGACAAATTGGCCGAGTTCGAATATTGGGGTCCCAAAAATTCGCCCGCGTATCAGATTCTGACGAATCCAAATTCAAAGTTGAAGTTCGAGTGGATGTCACTCTGTGGTTCAAGATTACCAGCATGTGCATTATTAGCAGGCAAAGAAGGAACACTCGATCTGTACATTGGCCGAACTTGTCATCGGTTTGATACGACTGTTGTTGGTAAATATAGTGCCCCGGATGGTCCATTTTACTACGCATATCAAGAACACGGACAAGAAGTGCAGGAGAATGTCGAAATACTTTGCCTTCTTTAAAACGCTGTCACTGGTCAAATGAGTAGAAAAAAAGGAAAGGTGCGAGTTAGACGCTGTCAGCACCCAATAAATTTTTTTCCTGAATTCAAATACTTTTGTCCGCCAATCAGAAAAACGTTCATGATGCGTGTGAATAATTGCTTTAAATACATATTCATACCTTCACCCTAGGGATTAGAAAGTCAATAGGATCTTGCACAACTTTGAGTTTTGCCACATGGTCACTAAATGTTAATAAGCACAACGACCAAAGAGAGCCGCTTCGCAAAGTATATTCCAATCATAAAAGCAGTTGTACAAGGATCCGCCGTACATATAAAATGTATTACTATTCTTAATATGTTTGTTGGGCATCTTATCGTATTTATATGACACAAACAGATATTTTCACGAGATCTTATAGATTGAATGTATTCATTTCTTCGAAATTTAGATTATACAATTACCAGTATAACACTGACAAACAAAAGGTGAAAATGTGTTTTTATAGAAGACTAGGAACATGGTACATTCTCTTGACTGTGCGCGAACTTATCAGCTGGGATATTGTTAGCAATTGCTTGCACAGTGTTATTACCATTTCCCGCTTTGGCAGTTTGTTTAGATATCTATTAATATCACATAAACATGTTCGTTAGGTAGTAATCGAAATGATATACATATATGGTAAATAAGCCATGAAAAACATTGGGTCTCGATTTCAAATCGAAAGTTAAAGCATTTAATCATATTCCGTTTAGATGATTATAAACCGAACCGGCGTTGGGGAATATTACCACCAAATGGGGCAACAACATATGTGGGATTTCATCATACAGAAGCAGAGTCAGCATTGGCAATTGCATATAGCGATTCGTGCAGAGATTCCATGGCATTGTGGGATGAAAAAGTCGAAGCGTACGGCTTAGATGTGAAATTTGAAGATACATCATGTAATTGTATCTAATAAATACTTTTAGTTTTTTACTCACTTGTTTCGTGAAAACTTTGTATCCCGAATCTTTAGGCAAATGTTTTAAGAATTTCCTCTTTCAAACCTAATTCAATAAAACTTTTTTTTCCCATTGTTTATCTTTTGACTAGAAACTCTATGCGCTTTCACATAAAGAAGCTAGAACGGAAGAGCGTGGATAATTGTTTTTAAAACACGCCTACGTCTTACTCTTATAGTATCAATACATTATTATTAAAGCAGAAAAAACACGTGCATTCAAGCTGATAAATGGAGACATTCGTAAAAAATAACAATAATCTGCAATGCCATTTCTTCTTGGGTTGATCATCCTCACACCTATTAATCCATCGACAGGCAATCTAAACACTGAACGCGCTAGAGTATTGATTGGCGTTGATGATATCAATTCAACTGTACAAAAGATTTCACATCCGCACGAAGGGCGTTCACTAGGGAGAGGTCTAAGATTTTACTGAGGTGTAACACAATCGAACCAATTATATCTGGATGGGCAAATAATCGTTAATATAGGGAATACAAATGCTAAAGGGGTTAGTTGTTTATCCTGTGAATAAAGATGTCATTAATTGGGTGAATGTGATTCGAGTTGCTGATGCAGATAAAAAAATTTCGTCGATCACATCTGATTGGAATCGTGCGGATCACGTGGAAGATATTCTTCCTTTAATATCACAGATGAAACTAGGATTTCTCGACATTGATCATCTTGTATAATCGTGATTCGCTTCCATAACAAACTTCTTACCGTGTCACTTTGCTTAGTAATGATTCATCAATATGGCGTTACACCTTTTACGCGAATGTTTTTTGACTACTTTCTCATAAGATAAAATTAATTAATACTGTTAACAAATATGTTGAATCTCGCAAATAAAAAATCAAATATTACATCACGCAGTTTAAATTAGAAACGACTGGAAAGAACTTTCGACTATATCGTATTGTTAGTCAGCTTATATTTAAAAGAAAGTTCATTAAAAGTGAGTTGCCGATGAAAACAGGAGATTTTCTACTGCGTTATAGTTTGTGTTGCGTGTCGTCTTAGAATTGACAATATATAGATTAGTTGAAATCTGAGCAACTTCTTTGTATAATCGCATCAGGGCGTATTATGCTCGCACGAATGAGCACTGAGATATTTCATGGGTAATATCAAAGTTAGCATGAAGAGCGAAGGACGAGTGAATGCTGTTTTATCAGACAAATAACCCATCAGAAAGAAGTTTTTAGTTCAATTAGAAAGTATCGAAAAATTGATTCATTACAGAAAAAGATATGATGTAGCAATGTTCTATAGTATATTTGTAATATTGAATTTGTCAAAACGAAGATCTTGATATAAAGAAAAAGAATTAATAAAAAAGAATGATGTTATTAAACTGGAAATAGTAGGTTAATTTGCAACAATAGTTAAAACAATTCCGTTCTTCAATTTATACTAAGCGTTGTAAAAAGCATGCTTTCAAGAAAAAGAATTCTTTAAGCCATGAGAATAGCTGTTTTAATTGCTATACAGTATATAAGTCATATATTCTATTAAGCACATCCATAGAATGTTCCCATAGGAAAAGACGTTTCCTATTTTGCTCATTTCTATTTCAGACTTGATTCCTTTTATAATGGATACAAGTAACGCGAACTCTGTTATATACCAAGTTAAATTCATTATTCTGATTACTTTACAAATCCCAGGCATATTACTCATGATCTTCGTTTTCCTATTCTTTACCTTAAATCGCGATACACTAAAAAAACTTCAAAATCAAGCACTGTTCATCTTACTTATAACTAATTCGATAAGATTAATAGGCACGATGCCAATGCCTATTGATTTCTATCGTCGCGGATATATTTTTCTGGCAACATCTGCTTATTGTACATGTTGGACATTCCTCGAATATTCATTAGCTGTGATCGGTGAATACCTCATGGCTACTATTTCTGTTCAACGACATGTAATCATCTTTCACCCAAACATATTTCAAACACGTAAGAAATCTATTTTGTTCTTTTATCTACCTTTGGCGTTTTCTGTTGCATATCCGATAATATTTTATGTATATGCTGTTATTTTGTATCCATGTGACGGCGCCCAATGGGACTATTCAATCGTTGCCTGTGGTTATATGAACTGCTATTACAATAACAATAAACTTGCTGTGTTCGATTGGGTAGTGCACAATATTTTACCAATTGTAATTATCATTTTGGCTAATGTAACACTAATCACGAGAGTTATTGTTGGAAAACTTCGTCGGAATCAAGCTATTCATTGGCGTCAACAGAGAAACATGACTTTACGACTATTGAGCATATCCAGTTTGTATGTAGTTGCATGGTCACCTACGATTATCGTCGGACTTATTCAACAAGCAACTTCAATCGACTTTGGAGATGTTCAAGCAGCTTACATAACAGATCTTATTTATTTATCTTGTCTGCTATTACCTTGGGTATGTCTTGGCCAATTACCTGAATTCAGAAAATGGATGTGGAAATATATGCGTTGGAAGCGAGTAGGACACGCTTCCATTGGTCCATTGTGAATCAATTTATCCAAGACTATCATTTTATCTAAAGATGAACATGTTGTATTCTAATAAAACATTACTTCTTCGTCTCACGAACTATGTTGTAGTGAACAATCGTTGTAGATGCGTGTTTGAGCTGCCACGAACCTTTTTCTCAAAGAGAATAAGCGTTTATATCGTGTACTGTTGAAGATTAGTCTCAAATCTCACTGAGCTTTCAGGAAGTATCTCTTATTAACAGCGTATGATACACTTTTGAGAATTATTTTTATTAAAAAAGATCTTCAAGCAAAACGAACAAGCGGAGTTGGTTGGAATCGAAGATACCAAGAAGCAATAGATTTGCGTCCAGTCATGTAAATGAGATGTTTCTTATTTACCGAATCGTATGCGATTTGATCAACGTAAAACTGGTATCCGGGCATGAGCAGAACTTCCTGCTCATCTGGAAACTTTGACAGAAAGGCAATGTCAGTATGTGCCTGGTATCTCGACTTTATCAAACGAATAATGAATATTGCGTTTCCGCCGAATTGTTCCGCGACTCGAAAATCTTTTGTTGTCGATGTAAAGGCGTAATAGGTAATAGGATGACCGAGAGCTTCTTGATAACCTTCAATCATTCCTGGTAAAAGCGTTGTGCCACGATAGACGGTCAGTTCAGGTAGATTGATACTATGTTTCACTGTATATTGCCACAAAAGCACATAAAACGATCCTAATGTGGTGACTTTGCTCAAATCTTCGTTTCTCAACGTTGCGTTAAGCAATTTATACAAAAATGTTTCCTCTGAGTAGAGACGTACCGCACACTGGTGGGTCTCGCGCTCAGTTTTGTGCACACACTCTCTTAGTTCTGCAGCCATACGTTCAGCTTGGAGTTCTTGATTTAAATGTCTTCCCTCAACTAAAATTCCTATTGCGAAAAAGCACTGATATTACTGTGTAAGATTATGAAAACAACTTTTCATACCGTTAGCAGCTCTCTTAGCAAGATATTTATATTCTCTCTCTCGACAAAGAGGAAATGATCTCTGGGTGTCAGCAAGTGCCTGTTCTTGAAACTGCCCGTATTTCCGTCCGGCTGCAAACGATTTGACTGCTGGTTCAGGAAAATTGAATCGCTCTCCCCTTCCTAAACCACTGGTGATGGTACTGCTGATGCCACCGTTACCACCGATCGGGCCAGGTTTCGGAACTGGTTGAGTAATATTTGAAGTTGTACTTGTTCCGGATCCCATCCTATGTTAGACGCGAAAATTTAGTTCAGCCGTGACAAAAACGATCAAGACTGAGTTTGAATCAATAGTCTACAAGGAACTCGTTGCCCGAAGTCCTTCTCAAGATTTTACGTATAAGACGAGATGCAATACATATCAATAAAATGTTTGAAAATATGATTTCTAGGTCCTCATTGACAATCCTCGAGGAACAACAGAAATATAACTACTGCAAGAAGTACGTTTATTATTCTTCAATGCAAACATGCACTGATCTTGTTTCCATCAAGTTTCAATTATTCGTTTTCAACTTACTTCGTTCTTTGTCACAAACTACTGCTGCTGTTATTGCTTTTCAAAAAACATAGTTCTATTTCTCCTTCACCTTGCACTTGTTTATAAGCACACATTTCAGAGGAGAGCAAAAAAGGAAGCGATCGATTATTAACTCTGTTTCGTGGGTAGTAAGTTACATGATTTTGGCAAAATTCCATTTTTCTCCGATTCTGTTTGCACAAGTATGGCAGAATAAATTCACCATTAACGTCATCCATGCACCATCGACATGTTCTCATATACATTTTCAACCATACCAGATCTCTGTTATACCTCTATCGTGATCTGACGTGTTACTCATTTACAATAACACCGTCGTTATCTCTCAATGATATGCATCTTATATGGAGCACGAAAACTCGAATGATTTCGTATAATAGGAAAAAAGCCCCTGCAGAACGAAATGAGTTGTTATTCTTTTATGATGCGCCAAGTGCTAGAGTATGAATACAAATGAAGGTGTGAGTTCATATTAACCAACTATACGTCCACATATTATCCGAAGGAACTTTTTGCTAAGAGTATTGTGGCGATTGAAATTCATGCATGAATGCAACCAAAGTTGTAATTGAAAAGAATAAAATAAAAGTAGTAAGAAGAATTCAAACTGTAGTGTTCAGTTATTCGTATGTCTTTGATAGTGATAGTTTGATGAACGAGAAGCAGTCGAGTGGTAATTTCTATCATTGATATAATGACTTGAGGCATTCTGCTGTTCAGCATCATCCGATCTTTCCTCGCCAAAAACAAGACCGCTAATAGTGCTCAATATTTTAGTCAGTTTTTTTTTTGTGGTTTCTTTTCGTAAACGACGATAACATTAGGTGACACTGATATCTGATCAAGCAATTTTTTGTTCCGGTCATTTTCTACTTTGAATCGGTCAGTCAATTGTTGAACAGCAGCTGAATTTGAGTTCTCTTGCATCCTCTTGAGTTTTTCCATATTTCGAACATGTTCGGCGTCGATGACTTCCATCATTTCATCAAAACGCGTCTTATCATCTGCAAGATCAGGCTTTGATTCTAGTGTCATAGTAAACAACTGATTTCTTTGTAAAGTTGTACTCAGCGTCTGTTTCTTGGAATGTTCAGCTTCTTGTGCCAACAACTGATCTTGTCGATATTTACTCTCCATTTTCAATCGAGAAATTTCATCACTCAATAGTTCGATATCGCGTTTCCTTGTGTGATGAACGGGCTCACATTTTGATATTATTGCCTCATACAAGAGATCATGGATATCCTTTTTACTTTTCTCTGATGTTGATCTTTCGACAAAGTATATATGACTTTTGTCTATAGAGGTAAGTTCCTCAAGTAATTGTGCAGTTTTCTCTTCATAACCATCAGGTCGGTCTAATGGGACCCCATTGACAATAAGAAGCAACGATTCAGTCGGGAACTCATACGCATCATTAATTCGCTTGAACGCAACTAAATCTTCGTCTGGTATTCGTCCATTGTTTAGTCCAAACACGAAGAGAACGACTGCCCAAGGACATTGCTCAAATGCTTTCATAATTTCCACACGATTTTCATCAATTAATTTCTGATTTGCCTCAACCAAACCGGGAATATTCGCCACCGAAAAGGTATATCTTCCAATATTTGTTGGCATGTCTTTCCATTCTGTATGACGAGTAACAGATCGCGCGGAGAATCTGCTCTCAAATGCTTCGTCATCGTTGAGTAATCGATTTGCCAAGAAACTTTTCCCCACTCCACTATTTCCCAATAGAATCAGCCCATATGTCGTCGCCGATGCCATAAACAATTTTTATATCTAAAAGCGCATAGGTTAAGAGGTTTGATTTTGATGAATGAAGCTAATCAATTCTTAGGTCGAAAAAGATCCGAATATAGAAAAAGAGAAAAACTTTTTATTCTCTAATTAAAGATTAATCATTGATGTACGCAGCGATCATCACGAAATTAGAAAAAAGTAGGAAGAGAAAAGGCGAATGATCACCTCAAAACATTGGCGTTCATAATATAGTGCATTTTTGCTTCCCTCCTCCTCCCTCCGCCGTCCGATATACGACTTGCGGTGACCGATTCGTAAGATCCGTTATTTGTTGCCTCAGTTGTGCTTGCGCTTGCTTCGATTGTTCTAACGCTTGTCGAATCAATGCAGTATCGGCATTGTTTTTGTTCGTCATTTCTTGTATCATAGTCTGATGGTCCGCTTGCATTCGTACTAGACGCTCTTGCATCTGCCGGACTTGTTCCGTCTGTCTTTCTCTCATTGCTGTTGCTTCCTCAGCTTGTTGATCAATAATACGCTGAAAACGCTCGTTCTCCATTTTCTGTTGAATAACGAGATCATCATATCGTAGTTGCTGAATACGAATTTCATTTTGGAATTCAGTTTTATTTTGATCAAATGCGTCTTTCATATTTTGGATCTGTTGTTTGAGCATCGCGACTTCGTCAGCTTGTAAATGAATGTCATGTTCTTTTCTATGTTCTCTGGGCGACAGCTCAAAGATAGCACCTAGAAATTGATTTCTTAACGCTACTCGTTCTTCGATGTTTTGTGGATTGATGTGATTTAGAAAGCACATTCTTCTTTCCGAAACTTGTCTTCCAATAATATCTTGTACCATGAGTATTACTTCACCTTCATAATTCTTTGGCCGTTCTGCTGGTAATGCATTGACTACCATTAAGAGTGACTCCGGATTTAATGGATATGCTTCGTTAATGGCATTAAATGCAACAACATCTTCGTTACGTATGCGGCCGAATTGGTGTCCAAATACGTAGATAATAAGCGAGTTTGGTCGCTGTTGAAATGCATAATCGATTTCACGTTTGTTGATGTTGACACGACTCTAACAAATTAGAAAGTACAAACATTTTCACATCTATCTATGTTAAAGAAAACTCTCTCAGAAGGAACACGTTCTATTCTTCTTGATTTTGTCGAAATGCAGGAAATATCATACCTGATCGGCTTCAATCAAGCCGGGAATATTAAAGATGGCGTAGTCACTATTATCAATTGTAATCTCTTGATATTCTGTTCGGTGTGTAACAGATTGACCAGAAAATTCATGTTTAAATGCTTCTCTGCCAAGTAAAATATTAGCTAAGAAACTTTTTCCAACACCACTATTTCCAAGAATGATCAAACCGAACTTATTGTTGCAATTTCTGGCCATAAATGTAAACCTCGATGAAAAAGTATATCACAAGTCTTTGATGTTTGTTGAGTAGATGTCGTTTCTTTTATCGTTTGTATCTCCTTATATACTCTCGGTGCAGAATGAATAATATCATAAGCAAAAAACGACTTTGAGCATTGATAAAGGTAAGAAGAACAAATATTACAGAATTCATGACGTTTTCTTCGACTTGCTGCGATGCATCCATTTATGAGAAGAAAATCGTTGTTGACACACGACTTCAGGATTTTTCTTTTTCTCTAATTCAGTATGTTATCACACTGACTCAAGTCAAGTTTATTTACTATAGATAATCAAGCAAGGCCATCTCAATAGAACTCTTTTCATAAATTCGCTTTGATATACACAAACGCAACATTATTATTGCTTGGAAAGATTCTTCATAGGATATTTCCATGATGATATCACAGGAAACAAGAGATATATACGCAATAATTATTGTTGGAAATAGTGGTGTGGGTAAGAGCGTTTTAGGAAACATTATTTTGGGTAGACAATATTTCAAGCATGATTTTTCTGCTCGATCCGTAACAGATCAAACTGAGTCGACAACATGTCAACTGGGTGATAAATATTATAGAATTTATAACATTCCTGGTTTGATTGAAGGTGACGAAGAACGCATTGCTCTAAACCGACGTGAAGTCAGCAGAGCATTTGAGGAACAGACGGGACATTCTTTTGTGATTATTTATGTATTTGGACATCAGAACGGAAGAATTCGAAATGAAGATGTTGTTACGTTTCGAGCTATTCACAATGCTTATAGATTCAGTCCGGATTCATTAATAACCGTCGTTAACGGACTATCTCCTGATCGACCCAGTACATACGATAAAGAAACTCAAACTACACTTATTGGTTTACTCGGTATGCAACCAGGTCGCATTTGTTTCATCAATCATTTGAAATTAGATGGGACACAAGAAGCAGATGTGCGAACATATCTAATCGATACTATTCTAAACGTTCGCCCTGAAGTACATACTAAAACTAATGATATAAATTTGATGATTGATGATGTTCGTGGACTTGAAGCTGAACTCAATAAGTTGCAGATTGAGGTGGAAAGTGAACGACATGAACATGAAGCCATGATAGCAAGTATGGAAAGAGAATACGAAGCAACTCAACGTTTATTAAGTGAGATTATTCGAACGAATACTTTGTTTTCATTTGATTATTTCAGCTCTACGACGTTTATTCGGTCAAGCCAAAGCCAATCTTCGTCGACTAGAAAGTTTTCGTGAGCAACAAGAACACTTAATATATATGTTAGGACAATGGGAAGCAGAAGAAATCGTGTATGCAGACGATCCTTCATCTGACCATTTTATTCTTGCAAGAACGAATAAACAAGACGCTGAAGAAGAATTAGCCAAAAATGTAACCACACAACATCAAATTGATGTTGCACTAAATGTTTGTCGAGGAGATATCGAACAAATTTGTTATGAACTCGGGCAGATTTACAATGGGAAACTTGATCGCGAATATTACATTCTTTTTGATAATTTGCGTTTTGATTCAACTATTGCTAATGTCAAACATAGCTTCCTCAATGATTTATACAAATTTACATGTCACCATTTCGGCGATATTGATTAGCGAAGTTGAAAATCAGAGATTTTGCGGTGAACGACTTTAACACATTTATTTTGATAACTTTTACGTGAGTACAACTTTCAATTATTTGTACAGAATAAGAACAATATTATCGATAGCACCATTATGATACGTGCCGCTCGTGCGAATGAACTGAACGAAAGTCTCAAAAGAACGAGTGCCACTTGGCACAGACCCATTTGCTTGTCGAAAAAGGAGTGAAGTTATATCACCACGATCTGACGCTCGTACTGGTCCAATGACCGTAATATTGCCAATCATTTGATTTGATTGGTTGAAAAACATCAGAAATACTTGAGCATAGTCATCTTGATAGCTATAACCACCGATCCAGGCTGAAAAATTGAACCGAACTGTTAGATTATCGATGAGAGAATAAAAATAACTTGTGAAGTTGCGTTTTTGCCACATCGTTGTCGTGGAACTGATTTGGCCATAGAAATGACAATTACCACGATCACTATAGGAAAATAAAAGCTTCATCAGATAAAATATCGAACTCTATGTCTCACCTTGGTCCAGGGTCGGTAGTTAGTTGAGATGAGGATGGATTGTTATAGTATACCTGTGTGACTGTTCCATTATGATTCCAATCAGTTGGACTTACAACACTACTATCTGATGCACATGGACCCGTTTCTGCATCACCATTCATGATCCAGTTTCTTTCGCTTACTAGAAACAAAGTTGTGTGAGAAAAAAAAAACAACATTGTATTGATGATAGTTACTAGCTGATAGTTGTCGATTATCAATTGCAGTCATAGTTACAACATTTTCATTTGTTATCATTTGACCATATTGTCGAACAATATCAATGAATAGGTCACATTGATGATTTGATTGATCAAAGATCGCTGTCCGACAATCTGTATTGATTAAACAAGCTGATTGGCAAGATCTTAAACTTGGTGTGACAACAGTTGTAAATGGTGAACATTGCGGATCAACACATAGATATCGCGCGTTGTAGAAAATCGATAAAACTATTGTATGTGAATTCTTGGCTAATGACTGATTGATAACGATTGAAAGAGATAATAAAAGTATAGACTTCATGTTTGAACTGGAAGAAAATATTCTCAATGAACCAGTTATAGTTGATTGTGTTCCTACTTCCAAGGTGTGTGAAAAGAAAAGGAAATTGGTTCACACTTCAGAGAAGGAACTTGAAGATAAAAATGAGAAAGAAAACTCAAGTGACTCAACAGATCTGAAGATAAGACATCGCTCTGATTTGCACTGCTGACGGAAGTGTTTGAGAGTTGTTCAAATAAGTAGCCGTCCATCACGCTACCAATAATGATGAACTTCTCCATTAAGATGACACACACATTAAAATCTATACTTAACTCAAAGAGATGGAAGACAAAAGGTGTAACTTCACGCTTTAGTAAACAGATCAGAATGTGGAATTAGCGTTGCGTTCTTCTATGATAGATCTGTGTGTCTGTATTAGAGCAGTATAGTCAGCAAGGGGAAACAGCGGATTATTGATTAATGTCGATTATATTGATTATATGTGATTAGTGTTGATTAGATGATTATTTAAATTTCTAATCCGCTGTTTCCCCCTTGATGAAATTACACCCAGATCCCTCTTACGGATTCTCATCATGACGTTTTCTTAGGCCAAAACAATCATACATAAAGTTGACTATTTTATGACGCTATGTATTACGGAGCTACATCGATCCTGGCCGTTGCCAGACATTACCCAACATCTCAGACTATTGATCTGCTTTTCACTCACAACCGTTGTCTTGATCCGTTTTCACGTATATCCTTATACTTTGATTGTTCGGAGAAAAATCTGCGTGTTGACTTAAAGCCGTAACAAAATTCGTTTGTTGTTAAGAATAGTTGGAATTGTCTGTATGTTGTTATTTATGAAGTAGAATAATAAAACCTTTTCGTGCTTAGCAACGAACACACAACGTATAAAATCACCTATTGTTTCGCCATTTTACAAGAACATCGACATTTATGTAAGTAATGAAACTCATACAACATGTCCAAGTTATAAGTGCACCAGATGCATGCGATTTCATCCAGTAATATAGTTTTTATCGATATTATTTATTGTTCTTCGTATATTCTTATTTCCGGATTTTTTTTCTGCCAGTTGATTGCAAATGAGACCGATATTTATATGCTAGCAGAGATATTCACTGAAAATTAAGAAACATTTTAATCGGGTCTCATCCTTGATATTGCACCCTCACCCGAATATGCACTGATGAATTCAGAGAATATGGAATTTATTCTGGAGAAAATGAAATTAGCAGGAAGTACACAGCAACTGGAAAATGAAAGAGAAAGTCACTACGTTTTTGAAGATAATTTTAATGCATCACTGAAAGACATGATTCAATCGAAAGCCTCTTATACCAAACTTGAACAAATCTGCTATCGATATGAGAATCGTGAAGGAGAAAACTCTGGTGAGAACATGATTAATCATGAAAGACGTGTTGAGCTGTCACACGAGCATTTTCTGAAGCAAAAGCTATGGCTTTTGCTCTCTCGTATACCCTTTTATTGGGGTCACGTTACTCGAGCTTGTGAACTGAAGTTTGACGAAGTAAATATGTACCAACCAGGTCGAGTCGTTACCTGGATTCCAGTTTAGCAGTTCGAAAAAAGGTAAAAAAGGACACGATTCCAAAGCATTCAAAAACCGAAATACACTGTTCAAAATTTACTCGCTAACCGGTCGTTCAATCAAAGATTTTTCGAGCTATCCAGAAGAAGACGAAGTTCTTTTTCTTCCACATTCTACATTTATTGTTCTCAATCGCAAAGCCTCCAAAACAGAAGGTAACCAGATAATCTATATGCGACAAGTAGAATTAGGTTTGTGTAAATGGTCAGTATTGTGGGTCGATGATCGCATATTCGATAAAAACTGGGAAAATAAAAAGCACTGGATATCAACGTACATTTTATTCCGAAGTCATCGACTGAAAGCGCTTTGTCGTTTCTTCGATCTCCATTTGGACAACGTTTGAAGAACAGAGACTCGTTTCGAATCGTCACCGATATGAACCGAGAAAATGAATCTCCAAGCTGTAATGCCGGTGCACGATTGATCAAAGCAGTACACAACTTAGGATTCAAAAATCAGTGTCTTGTCTTTACGAGTGATAAAAAAAGTGCAGAAGATATTGTTCAATCAGAATTATCTTCAAAACAGTTACAAGATGTTTTTATAACTACTTACACTAAAGATTTACGAAATTTCGTCAATTTTGATCAAGCGCACATTGCAGCACAACAGAACATAGTTTAGGTCCATATTCACTGAATTCGAGTAAGATAAAATACTTTCTTCATCTCAAATTCTATAATTCAACAAAATTTTATAAAGTGTTGTGATTACACGAAGCACTCCGTTTTCACTTTTTGTAGAAAAGAATACGAGTGTCAACAATACAACTGTTGCTGCTGGCACCTATGGACATACGTACACCAAAAGTCAAGCTCACGAAGACGATGGCATGATGCACAATACGAAAAACACCAACATTGATATATTGCTGACGAGCTGCGAGATGCGCAACTTAAACAATAGCCGACAGAAGTGAGACTTTTTGCTGTGGAAAATGTGTTTTTATACATTTAACAGTATAATTATGAGAGTAATCTAAGAAACATGTGCACTTTTTTTAATTCATAGCTGTGTTCTCATTACAACTGGCTCGTTCAACCCCGTTCATCCTTTCCATTTTCAAAATTTATTACGCGTTAAAGAGCACCTTGAACGAGAACATCAGCCACCAATGAACGTACTTGCAGGATACATCTCACCAACACAGTATGTTGATTTTTCCAATCCATTCTCTGATTACAAAAAACATGAAATTATGTTTTGTAGCGATTCATACGTGCATTCGAAACTAGACGATTCGGCATGGATTCCAGCTAAAGATCGATGTCGTCTGTGTGAAGAAGCTATCGAATATGAAGGTTCGAAAGTATCATCATGGATTGCTGTTTCTCGAGGTGAAAGTGAATGGTATGATGGTTTTGTCGATTTCTCTCCAGTTACAGAAAATCTTCGTGATTTTCTAAATACTACACTCGTTGGACAAAACAACTTACTGAGATATCCACTTCGTGTGATTTATGTATGCGGATTAGATCATTATAACAAATGTACGTATGTGGAGCGTATGGTGCAACAAAATAATATGTCCTGTGCTATTGTGTATCGTCGAGGATGCGATGAACAACAAATCAATCGTTCACTTAAAACAACAAATGTTATATATGTTTCCTTGTCGAAGGAGCGTACGAAACTTACTGATGTAAGTTCAACACAAATTCGCGAATATTTTCAAAATCCAACTGCCAATAATACGAATATCGAGAGAAATATATATCCATCTGTACGTGACTACATGAGAAGAAAACATCGCAAGAAATAAATGACAAATAGAAACCCTACAGAAATACTGCTAAGTATATAATTCGAATAACTATTTCTTTTATATTCTTTTTATTTGCGCCATATTCAATCAATAGAGGAATGGTTTACGTTTATTTTAAATTGATCTACGATTTTGCGAGAATGTGGATGGGAGCTTGATAGGGAAATCACGAGTGAAGTTAAAAAATCATGTCGAACTCATTCTAAAAATAGCGCTGAAATCAGGCTGTTTAGTATAGAAACGAATCTGCCCAGAATTTTTACAAATGATTGAAAATATAGAAGTCATTTTAGTGTTGTCCCTAGTCTGAAATTTCTGCGTTTGACTTTGGATATAATCAATCGAAAGATAAACATTTTCGATAGATTTGTTCTTTGAAATTCTTTCAGATAATTCGTCGATGGTAAAACAAATAAAATAAAACCAAGCGATTGAGGTGTATGAGCAAGAAGATAAGCAATGAGTAAAAGATGTTTTTGCCACTCGGATAAATCCATACATGAGAAACTAAATGATAGAATTGATTGTGGCAAACCACTAACGATAATTACCAGAGGAACGACGTACATCTCTTTTTGATTTCGAAATTGCCATTGAAGATATTTGAAAAATGTATCAAAATGATTTGTTGCTCGAGACCGACTCCGTGCAGCTAAGATAATCAATGTAGTTACTGATAAAGTTTGAATCGAAAACGGAATTATATAGTGAATCACAATAGTAGTACGTTCATATGTGGATACCAATGATGAATAGCTTACAATACACGCTGATTGTGTGCCTGGATCCTTTAAATAGAAGTATAGCTCATGAATGTTCATAATTGCAATGGTGATCAATGTTAGAAAACTTATAATTATCGTAAGTTGTACATTTTTCAATGAGCTTGAGAACGGAAATAAAATAAACCCAACACGTACAATCGCCACCCAACTAATCATCCAAAATGAGCATCGCATAGTAATTGAGAGCATATACGAGATGATTTTACATAGAATATCGTTCATGAGAAAATCGACAAGTATTTGTAAACTCTTTAAAGTTAACGACAACAATGTCAATTGACTAATGATGGAATAGAACAAAAGATAAATTCCAACAGTTGTATTTCGTACATTCGGTTGATTGAATGTGATCAATGTTGCATAATTTGTTAGTCCACCAAAAATAAAGATAAGAAAAGTAATCAGACAGTAAATAATCCGATAAGTATAATGAACGCGGAGGAGAGCAGAATGGAGAGTAAAGCTAAAACCATCGTCCATAAATTGGCATAGCCGACCAGAACGACATTGTGGGCAAAGGCAAATATATTTGTCTTGATATAATCGATTTTCAATTAAACATTGACTATTAGCAAAACACGATGAGCAACGTTCGAGATTGTGATTATAACCGAAACATTCAACACGATAATGATCTGCATCGCAAATACATAAATAATGATCATCAAAAAAACAAAATAAACTATGATTTTGTCGACAAAGGTTGTGGTATTTGTAAGCGTGAATTTGATCGTCATGTAGTGAAAATAAAGTGCGAATGTTGACACAACGATTCGTTTCACGCAGATCTGTGAAGATGTTGGCAGAAGTGACATGAGTTTGTAATGCAATTATATAAATGTTTACTTGATTGTCACCGAGATATTGTTTCGCAACGATAATATCGGGCGGTTTCAGTTCATTATGAAAAACTGTCAATTGCTCAGGAAGTTGTTGATAAACATGTTGAGAGATTAAGATCAGATTTAACGTGGCAAGATCTATTCGAAAATATTGAATAACCATCGCTCTATACTCAACAGTTCCATTGATATGTAAGGAGACTATCTGTCTTAACAATTCACACCGTTTTCCATAGTATAGGTGAGCACATGAACAATAATAATCCATTGGCTTAATTGATGATAGACAAGTACCATTATTTTCACAAGGATTTCGATTACATTCATCGTGTGATAGTTCACATCGACGACCGTAACGTTTTAACGGACAAATACAATATGTAGATGAATCATTTCTATCTGCTGAATTGTAGTAATTTGATCGATACAGTGCTTGACTGAAACAATAACTCTGATTAGGATTAGGACTGACTGAGAAACAGATGTAATTATGTGGTTGATTGAGAAGTTGATGGCATTGAGAATCATTTTTACATGGATTGCTCGAACATGGATTGTCGGTATGGTCCACAGTGGTTAAACGTAGGATTTTAACAAGTCGAAATGATGGAAGGTAATCGAAATAGATTGGATATTTCCAGATGCCGATGAACAATGGAGTTTGATCGTGATTCAGTTCATAAGCTTCGATTTGAACCGAGTAAGGATGCTCGTGAATAATATTCGATCGATTAAAGTACCGTTGTCGTTTTCTTTTCAATGACGCATTCGTTCGTGAATATAGAAAACGAACAATTTGTTTCTTCGAATGAGTCAGTTCAATAGCAGGTCGAACATGAAATTCCTCCATGGCAACCGTTTCATTGTCATGTGTGAACACAACGAGCATTTTTAAGATTGTAGCTATATTTGTATCGATTGTATAATTATAATTTGAAATATTCAAACTGAGAATTAGAGTGAGTTGATCACTATAAAGCTGACATTTGTCACCGTAGTATTGTTCAGGGCAAAAGCAAACAATAGAACCGTTGTGTGTATACATGCCAACACCACGATTGCATATGTAAGCAATCGGCGAAGAACCATTGTTGTCTGTCTTGATACTTTCGATGTTCTCTGGAACGGTGGAATTGATTATAATTCGATTTGATTTTATTTTCGTTTTATCAGGAAACGCTGGTAAATTCAGTAGCTTCGGAGTCGTTGAAGCAATGTTTTTCTTCTGAATACGATAAATACTTTCAATATGTACGCGTTCGACGTTTGGAATTTGACAGTAGTATTCATCTTCTCCGTGTGCACAGTCCGGTATGTCATTACACCATCCTTCCGCAATACAAGTTCCATTCCAGCACTGAAAAGCATTACCCTGATTACAACGATTGGATTCTTCGGAACCGACGCACATTTGTTGATCATCGGTGACATTGGGACACCTAGTGACACAAACATCGTAAAAGTCAACACAAGTCTTAGTCGACAGGCACTGAAAAGCGTAGCCAAGCATATTTCTCTGATTACAATGTTCCATTGTGTTTCGTTCATCCATACCACCCAAACAATCAGGATGACCGTCGCCAACTTTTTCCAAACCAATACACGGATGTATGTGCCCTGTGTTGGTCAATAGATGAGAAGAACTCACTGGAAAACATGGAAATTCTATGTTGAAATCGCAAATATTCCAAAATGACTGTTCATTATAACGTGCCAGAAAATTTGCTCTCAAAGTAGAATTACTTATTAGATCGATATTGTGTGCGGATAAAGAATGATTAGTAAAGAAAATTCCTTGTTCGTCTGAGGCATCCAAGCAATCCCATTCTCCATCTAGAATCCAACTAATATCGATACATTGACCTGAATGACATTGCCACTGATCTTTAGAGCAGATCCACCATTCTTTACAAATATGACGGTCTTCATCCATCTGCAATTCCAGATCCCAAAATGTGTTGCAATGCGCACGAAATGGCAGATTTTCCACGAGTTGTGATACTTTGTCAACTTTCCATGAATGCTCAATATACTCTCTAAGAATTTTGCGGTCGCTATTGTAGGTACTGTTATAATATAACTTTACTGGGAGGATTTCATCATGATTGTTATTGCAATCAGGTATATAATTATTAAGAACGAGTATAGATAAACATGATGATTGTTCGGAAGAGCATCGAAAACGATACCGCTGCATTCTCGAACATATATTCAATACTAAATCTCGATTGCTTTCAGCTTCGTCCAGCCGATCTACGCAATCAGCCAATCCATCTGCTATACGATAAGCTGAGATACATTCTTTCGTATAATTGCACACATCAATGATGTTGTACGACTGATTTGTGAACGTTCGAGAGTTTGTGTAACAGAATTGATCATAACCATCGCCAAGAACGAGAGAATTTGCTGCTTGTGTCGTGCATATGAAAGCTTCCCAGGAATGAAGCGATTCACCTATTGAATCCGATATATTCGTATAATAATGAACTAGATATTCTCGACATTTAATGGTTGCATTGAGTATGATCAAATAATCGATTATATCGTCGTCTTCCAGCGACCACTGCTCGATGCTATAAACATAATATGTATAAGGACTAAGTATTGCACCTGCGGGATATTGAACGAACGACAATTGACAATAACTCCTTATTTGCTCAATATAGCCTGTGTCACTACTCATAGAGTCGCAATTAACTTCTGCTCCATCCGAAAGAGCACATTTCAAGAAATATATACATTGTTCAGTATTATTTCTGTCAAGAACGCTGCTCTCATTGTAATCGTTGCCAATATAACATCTACCATTGGGCAAAGTCCATTGGAAATCAAGAGAATGAGTTTCGCACATGTAATATTGATCACGACAACTCCTACATGTTTCTCCCATACTCGACGATTTTCGGAAAGCCAGACGATCGTCGATGCACTGCCCGTCACCACACGAATATTGAAATCTCAAACACACACGATCATCACATTCCATTCTAACCTTTTGAAATGCACAATCGAAACCACTGTTATATCCAATTTCATCTGTCATATCCATACAATCATAATCACCATCAAGGAAATATTCGTCGGGTATGCACATTCCGTTCATACATCGATACTCATCATTTTCACATTCGTTAAATTCCAATTTATCACAATTTTCTTCATCATAACCGAACATACACTGCTGAACACCATCACAAATATCTCGCCAGTCAAGACACAATAGACCCGAATCACAAGTCAATGTTTTATAGCATAAAATATCACCATATATCTGCATGTCATTTTCATTCTTTCTTCTTGCTTCTAATTCCCATCGAAGTGTTGCTTCGAATGTGGTACCCATTGGTAACAGATATTCACAATGCCTTCCAAACGATTGTAAATTTGTACATTCACATATATAATTATTATTAGAATTATCAAGAAGTGAAGTAGCCGGATGGATTTTACCGTCATTGTAACAGTATTGCGTGTTGTTATCTCGTTGTAAAACGATCGGCTCACTTGGCCGGCGACAATAGAGAAGATCTTCGTGAGGAATACAATCATAAAACTCTACGATTGAACCATCTTCAGTATGATAGATATGAATGCCACCTTCAACGATAGACAAAAGAAAAGCTATGCATAGAGTTTGTGTCAGCATATTCTCGAACTTTCAAAACTGTGAAAAAAAGATCTCGTGAACAATACTGTTACTTTTATTTGCTACTCTTTTCTCTACGAATTATCACGTTCGGCTAATAGAAATATATTTGGTATCATATTACACATTGCCTATTTGCACGTTTATTAAAAACAATAGCTAATTCATTAAACGCCTGGAAAAGGGTGAGAGTAGGTGGATAAAGATTTAAATTGAAAAAAGTTGTTCACCATTACCTTTGTATATACTGTTCTTACGAGAAAAAGTAGTTCGTGACCTTCTGCGCACGTACTCCGCGGACGAACGACGTCTTAGTAATAAAAATAACATACCTGGTAAAGAAAGAAAGAAAAACTCTACCCCGTACTTAACGTTATTTTCACTCTATAAAAAGAGAACCATTGCGATGTTATTACCGATTGTTGACGCGGTTAAACTAACGAAGAACGAGCGAAGAAAAGAATCTTTTCGACTCTAGCTGTATTTCATATTGCCAAGTGGTGAGAAATGTCTTGTCCGGTACATTCTACCTTGTTACTCGATGGTATTGAAAAATTCTTTTGTGCCGATGGTGGTTGGACAACAATTGCACACGCGGTTCATATGACGGGTGATTATTCACTGATAGCTGCCAATGCACCGTACGCTATTCAATGCCTTTTGAAACGACATCCTCGTATGCGTTCGCGCCTTCGTGTGGAGAAGAATCAATATATGTTGGATATTTTCGAATATGATAAAGAATATTTCTCCGATGAATTATTTTTTTCAATTGTCAAACAAAGCGACATTACGTGGGAAAATATTGTCGAAAATCGTTGCAATCAAAATCCATATACCAAGAATGAGACCGAAATTTTTCCACTCTTTCATTTTATGCTTATCTACAATGAGAAACAATCGTATGATGTGCCATTTCATTTGATTCTCTTTAGCAACCATTGTGCTGCTGATGGACGTAGTGGAATTATCATCATAAATGATTTTTTGACGTTGGTTACGTCTTCAAATCTACTGGAACGAGCAGAGCCCATCAATACCGAAATCTTACCAATTATTCATCAAATGATTCCACGGCCATTTGCTTCTCTTTATCCATTGATATCATTTATTGGTCAAAAGCTCATCCGGCATGAACTACGTCGATTGAATCAGCCACGTATTCCGGTTAAGGGTATTCCTATAACTGGTTGTCAGACAACGCCAACTCAAGCGCAACGGTATAAAAGCAAGTTTTTATTTGCATCATCTTCGACTGATCTTTGTACAAAGTTACATCAACAATGTCGTTCGCATGAGTTAACAATCAATAGTGCACTGTTTTCTTGTCTCCTCTTAGCAATCCATCGTTGTTTTCCGTTTAAAAACAAAGCTCGGTTGGAACCATTCGAAATTAGCAACGCGTTTGATATGCGTACACGTTTGCCTGGTTCCCGACTAACAACTTCATCAGTCGGATTTTTCGTTGGTACCAATGAGCTGAAGCTGAACCGATCATTTTCAATTCGATCGACACGATTTTGGACACTGGCACGTAAAGCATCGTCGATGACTCAAAATTCATTAAAACGACAAGGTATTCCGTTAACAATGCACGTTCTAGCAGACATTTTCACAGATGAACGTGTTCTTGATAAATTAGCTCAAGTTGGACCTGAAGGACGTATAGGTGAAATGGGTTATTCCAATCTTGGAAAATATCCTTTTCCATGTGATTATCAAAGTGTTGTGAAAATACGAGGTTTGCATCTAATCAATAATGGCAGCCGCTTTCGTCCTGGCACTTGTATATATGCATCATGCGTAGGTGATGGTCAACTGGACTTTTCCATGGCACATGAAATATCGACCGATGAAAAAGCTAAAGAGTTTTTCGACTACTACATTCGCCTGGTTGAAACTTGTGCGGATCAAACCTGTTGCACAGATGAAACTACTGTCGAACAGCTATTGACAAAAGTAGACTCCCATTGATATTAGAAATTAAACTTTTTTGTTTGCGTGCTTATTCATGCGTTCAGCTTTCTTTAAAAATAAATACATGCACACCGCTACCCTCACTTTCGTACACTCATATAATGATTTAATTTAATAATCGATTGAAACTGCTTTCGAGCGTTGATTCGTCCTGTTTGAATGTTATTGTTAGTAATCCATTCTTTTGCGAATATTACTTGGGATTTCATAATATTTCAGTTTCTTCCCTCGGCTGAAAGGAGGGTCATGCCGAAAAAAAGCGGTCCAAAAATCGAAATTCGTTTGTGAGTATGTCTGTCGCAGGTCAAATATCAAAGGTCAAATTGTATTTTTTTTGAAAATGTTCAAAACTTCATAAAACATGGTTTCGAAGGGTGTTTTGACACTGAAAGTTGGTTGAGAGGGTGAGGACATGTGAGATAGGGTCGATGTTAAACGCACGTTGAGCCCTGAGGTCAGCGACCCATAAGAGAATTTCATTATGAGTGGAACAAAGATTAGGTAAAAGTTTTTCATAACTCCAAATGTGCAAGGAAATATATCANACAGTCAATATTAGACATGAGTATTTGTCCATTCGTATTATTTTGACGAGACCATCTCATTATTCTTCTATTGCCTTCATCAGAAACAATGATATCATTCGTTATTTTATCAATAAGTACATCAGCTGGAATCTTTAATTGATTTAATTTCTTACCTGATCCATTTCCACCGGCAACCACTTGAACATGGGTTCCATCATGTTTGACTTCTAAAATACGGTGATTACTAACATCAGCAACATAGAGCGTTTGATCATCATCGATATAGACCGTAGTAGGCCATCTAAGTTGGTTAAGTCTATTACCTCTTCCGTTCCCACCAACTATAGTAAAACCATTTTGTATCCAAGTTGTAATTATTTGACTATCAAGCGAGAATGGGCCCATGATCTTGTGCATATCAGTGGCAATTGCTAATGATAAATTCTCATTGTTGTCACCAATTTCAATCAAATGTACAATGTATGAATTGTTTGATTGTTTAAATGGATTGCTCTTCACACGAAATTTTGTTCCCATTCGTAGAATAACCTCCTCCTCGTTCTCATATTGCGTATAGCCCGATATTTTCTTCCCGTGGCGAGCTTCAATTAAGAAAACAGTTGCGTTTTCATGACCTTCAAGGAAACTTTTGATGACGTTCACTGACGACGAGCACGAACTCACACTCCACCATGTTACAACCTGATCTTTGGTAAAATTACTACCGATGTCAAGAGGTACACCCCGCCAGAGTATTTCTTTCACTGTAGGTAATTTGCTCAATGCTGAATCAAATAGTTTTAAATATGGAAACCATATCTTCACTGTTTCACTGTTTTCAGATCGCAATGCTTCGTTTAGCATGGCGTATAAGTTATCCGTTTTCCAGTCCATTGTATATAAATAGATAGCAGTGGATTCATCTTGTGATAATCCATGATCTGATGGAAAACGACAATGAGTTTTAGCTGTTTTGATATATGATGGCAAGTTAGCAATGAGCGACTCGATGGATTGAAGAGACTGTTCAATTGTAACGAACGGTTCACTCTGAAAATCTTCGAGGGGAGCCAGTCGTTTAGATTCAGTGTCAACATCACCAAAACGATTCATGAAAGAATGTAAATATAAACTTTCTCTGCGCAATAACAACAAGAAAAGACTCGAGGGTGATAAGAACCAAGTCGATGTAAATAAACATCTGCGAGCTGAGATAATTTCTTTTTCTTTATCTTTATCTATAATCGTAAGTTTCTTCATCATGAGATGATTGTTTAACACTTTACTGACGATTTTTTTGTGCGCTCCGAAAGTGCATATTCAATAGAAGCGGTAACTGTCTTCATTCCATTCATTCACATAGTGACTCTTAACAGACCAGTCTGATCCTGTGGATTTTTTTTACATCGTGCTCGGGTTCGAAGATAAGTTCAGTTCTTGCTACAGTTAATAATATTTGGATGAAAATCACCCAGAGAGTCAGAGTGGAGGTAAAAAATTTCATCGCTGGAACGCATATCTGGAAAAATAAATCCTATGGAGACTCGATTGGAATGCTAAGATGTCTTGCGTCGAGCTCTGTTAGGAAAGTGTTTCGAGAGGGTTGGAGAGCTTTCAAAAGTGATTCCGGTGCTAACTTCCATTACATCATATGTCAATTTAATACAAAAATAGTAAAGTGTAAAATGGTTTATTTCGAAATTGTACGAATATTCGAGTACGTATGAAGGACAACGGTTACAAACTTCGTATCTCTTTGTGTTCAGCCACAATCACGTTTCATGACACAATGAAACAAAGTTATTGTTCAAGGTTTGGAAAGGCAATCTCTTCTTCAAATGATAATATCCCAAGACGAGTAATCCGGGTTCCGGATCCCATCGGATCCTGTCGGAGAACCTACTAAATCCGGCAGATTCCTTCTGGAATCCGATAACTTCCGACAGCATCCGATCGTTTCCGTGTCGGAAACTGTCGGAATCTTTGGTACAGGAATCCGATCGGAAGTTATGGGATGTCGGATCCGCTGATTTCCGACATTCGGATCTGCCAGTCGGAAAGTATCGGAACCGCCAGGATCCAGTAGATATTACATAGGTTTGCAAAATACGTTTCGAATTGCTTTCATTAACAAGGTTCTGGATGGTTTATTTTAATTTGCTTCACGTAAAACATAACAAAAGCGCTATTTTACAATAGAACAACAAGAAAATATTTATGAAAGACATATTTCATAATGAAGATTTGTTTCATAAAAGCACAAAAAAGAAGATTTAAAACTCTCACTTTGGTAATTCTATTTAGCCGCAGTTTAATGCCATTGAGAATTAAACACCATCCTTGTTTGCCTTACGACCACGTTTGCGTTCGTCGTTGAGAAAATCCGCTAGTTTTGGTCGAACCAGTTTGCTATAAAATTCGTCGTATTTGTCAGCAGCAAGATGATATTTACTTCGCAAAGCATCTAAAAGAAATACAAAAAAGCCGGGTGAATAAACTTGAGAATCCGATCTGATTTTGCTCAGTATTTGTGGCAATAAAAGCTACATACCATGGAGGTATTCGAACCGCCCAGAATCCAATGGTTTTCGAGCATACTGAGAGCCACCTGGAGGTAAGATTGAAGACACAAGCTCTTCACGTGAATACAATTGACGAAGTACGAGTCGAGCATAATCACCAAAGTCCTTGCTACGAATACGTGTTAAATTGATATCTTTGTATACCTATGCAATAAAATGAACGGCGATATTCGAGTAAACTTGATAACTACCACATCATCGAATCTTGCATTTTCATTTGATTCTCGAAACGAAGAAATATCAATCTGAAAAAGTATAATAAACAGATATATTAGATTAATAATACGTAGGATGTCCAGCACTTACTGTATCAAATTGGTATTTGCGGTCTATTTTCTTCGACAGTTGTGTATATTGTTTCTCATTTTCTTCTCGAATTACTTTGAATTGAACGTCAATATGTTTCATGAGAGACGAAGCTACAAAAAATGAGGTATGCATAAGCTTCTTGTGAAGTAGTTTGATCGTTCGGACCTGACGAAAAGTTCAGAAGTTGTTGATCGTTATTTTCTTCATCACTGGAACGGCTATCGCCTAAAACAGGGAACACAGAAAATAATAAATAAACTATAGAGATAAAAGTGCTTCGACGAATGTACTATTTGTGCAATCTCACTCGTTGTATTTGTCCACACACCTGTGTGCGTTTGGGGATTATTACGTCAACTTATTCTTTTGAATTTCTCATCGATCATAAACAACTCATTGATGTTATGCATACCTGCAATATGGATCTGAACACCATCAATTTTTCTTCTGACGAAAGGACTCGACGCTGACGAAGGTCGACGTTCTTGAGCAACTGGACTAAGTGCTTTACGCTTTTGTTGAGGTGTTCGTGGATTGGTTGCAAGATCGGTAGCTAAATATACAAAGAATACAGAGCACAGTATTGACTTTATATGTATCAAAGGAAGAGCCACATTTGAGGAGCATCTTCTCAACATTTTATTTCTAATGAATATATTGATTCCAATACACCTTCAAATGTTGCTCGAAAAGAGTAAGATACATCGAAGTATGCGGAAACGCGTAGAAGTTTATGATTTCAATTTCTTCTAGAGCTTCAAAACTTTGTACTTACTTGTTAATCTTCGAAGTTGGATAACTGGTTCGTCATCGTCTTCGATTTCTTTATCTGAATCATTGATTTCATGAATATCTAAAACAAGCGCATTGGACGCATGTGAAAACATGAGTTCACTTACCGTTAAACTGCTGCCCCTCTCCTTTGTTCTCCCATACACGTCGACATTCCCTATGAGTACCTGCAGCAAAAAGAATGATATGAATCATACGATTAAACGGCATATAGAAATATTTTATTTTTCAGGGGGAGGCGATGGACATAAACTGATTCTTGATAAAGAATATAAAGCCTACCTCGGTATTCGATGGTCGCTTCCATCCGACGTCCATGAAACAGTATTTCAGCAGTATCATCATAAATACGTTTCATACTAGAACGAGGAACAATGATAGATTCGCCAGTTTCGATAACTTGACATAGGAAGCATTCTGGTTCAGGAGTACTTGTCGGAGTGTAAACCTTCTTCTGAATTCGGACTCGATTATTCATTCTCGACAGATCTGAAATATTTCATTATTTAATCATGTTCATCATACGACGATATCGGTGTAACAATATGATAATCTATACAATCAAAAACTATACAGTGATCGAATATGCGACTCACAAGTACAAGTTCATAAGTAGGGAGCCATTCTTTTGAGACGACATAGAATAGATGATTTATAGGTTTGCGTAAAAGTTTGTCGTATGACGATGATGATGAGATTAGATCACTAAATAAACAATGAATCGGATGCTGACGGATCACGGCATAAGTAAAGCTTTGAACTTGGAAAAACATGATGATTTTTCCAAATGAATAAGCGTTGTTATCAATAGAACGGCAATATCTGACGTAATAACTAACGCTTTTTTGTCTTCGTTTGTAAAGAATCGAATGATATATTCGATTATTGATTGAGCATCGTCGAAAAGCAGTTAAACAGGAACTTATTGACATACAATTACATTGTCGGTTATGTATGTCAAGAAAAATGCCATTCGATGTAAAATCGAAATTAACATCTTTGTCGAAAGGACCATCACTTATTTTAGTAAGTGATTTTGAATCCTTGATTGTATGACGAAGCGCTATGTCTAGGCTGTAATTTTCAGCAATAAGATCGCCTTGGTAGCGGGTGCCGGTGAAGTTCGATCCCATGTATCCCATTAAACCTTCTTGCCCAAATGAACCTAAATGTGAGAATGATCCATACATTCTGTATTGAGCTTCGAAGTGTGCATGAATATGAAGGACGAAATTTTCGAGACCATGGTAGAACGAACGAAAATCTTTGTAATACGTCATTATTAATTCATTAGCTATTTTAGCTGTTGCGTCGGCAAAAATTGGTCTACCATGAAATAATCGCATACCGACTATATACAAAGCAAAATGGCTCAGCAAATCCACCGGCAAATGTTGATGAAATACAGGAAGGAACCCATAGAAAAGTATGTTTCGAACTTCAGTAGCTTTGACGAATGAAAGATCCTTGAGTGCCTTCATGCGGCGATTGAAGAAGTGCGGAAATGGTTGTTTAGCTAACGCAACGTCTACGATATCACGAGTGGCTGGCGTTAAACGTCTGTAAATTTCATTAAATATTGATTTTGCATGGCGAAGTAAACTAGCGTGCGCGTAATCAACAATGATCGAATATGGTAGTTGAATATCAACGACATCGGCGATAACCGAAACACCTAAATGGCCATTTTCGTTTCGCTTAAATTGAGAAGCAGTGCTGGAATCGCGAGCGAAACTTTCGGCGGTTCGCATACGAAAAGGACATTCATATGGATATTGCCGCTTACCATTTTGATGTACACCATGTAAAAGGCAAAAGTAACAACAATAATACCCGTTGTGAGCAACAAAATTTAGAGCTATCTTCAACGCAGGTGAATCGCCAATCACGCCAATAACTTTGAGTTTGACAACATTCGCATTTACGACAACCCCTATAAGAAAAGCAGAACGAATCATTACGAGAATCTCACGAATAGGAAAAGTGCAAGCACTCTCTCACTATTCTGACACTGCTGAAAACGTCGTATGGCTATGTGGGCACGAATGCCTTTATCTCTAATCAGAACGTACTGAGAATCTGAACCTTATCCCTACGATTATAGTTCTTTCGAAGGATATCGAACCACTCGCTCTCAATACTTGTATGGTTGGAGATAAATTATGTGTGACAATTTTGTCTTGAACCTTTCACGGAAATAATCAAAACTAAACTGTCGAAAATGACCCATGAGAGTGCCGCATATTTCTCTAGTAGATTGATAATATTGGGTATTCAAGAGAGATCAGACTCACCTGTTGTTTTGAGTTCTTCTAACACCGCAACACTGTCTTGAAGCCATACGGACGCTATCGGCTCCTTTGTGCTAATCCACATAGAAAGTACCGGCATATTATGTCGTTGATAGCGAAGTTTGGATGGTAATTCCACAATGGAAAAAGAAAACAACCACATTTTCAATTTGTTGGATTCGCACAGACTAACCCCATCTAAATGCATCAAAGCAGTGATAAAATTTTCACTTGAATACTGTTGTAACAACTGTTGATAAGCGTATCCGAAACCGATATCGTTTGTGGCCAGATCATCACGATTTGCTCGAAGTTGCTTTTTATAATCATGAATTTCGTTGCAAAGACTTTTCAATACCAATGAAAGAACAACTTTGATATCAGATTGATAAACGACAGCAATGTTTGTTTCGTCCGAATTTGGACATCTATGACAAGAACATGAATCAACCGGAATATCTTGAGTGCATTCAAGACAAATTTGTTTCTTCCTAAATAAATTCTCTTCGAATTGAAGTAACGAATGTACTTTGTTCATGCTCGACGGTAAATTATTCGGAATTGGCAACACTTCGTGAAACAACTTGAGAAATCTGTCGCGTTCAATCTTGGAGATTCTCGAGTGACGAAATGTTTGCAGAAGTTTTCTACAAAAAACACCGGTAGGTAGATCAGTATACTGGTGCAGCTGGACAGAACTAATCAAACCATTCTCTTCGGAAGATTCGCTCGAATAATCGTTTGAACTTGAGGTGGAAAGTTCGTTCATGTCGTCCGTGTCAGGCATTGTGCGAGAATATTCGTCGACATCACCGGAAAGTAAATCGTGTTCAATTTCAGAAACAACATGATGCTTTACTTGAAGAAGAACGGCAGCTTGAGTTGTGTCAAATGGAAACGAAGAAGACGATTCGACTGATTGCGATGAAATCAAATCCGAATACTGAGTGCGTGAACGACTAAATCGAGCCTTTTCGCTTTTTTTCAATAAACGACAATGATAATTTTCACTGGCTAATTCGAGGGCATCTTCGATTTCAATATCCATCAGTCTAAAATATTGATATTCGAATTAGAATGAAACACAAAAGGATTCCAAAGTCATATTGGACCATATGCAATTAGTAAAAAAGCTATTTCAGAAAAAGCTTCAAGTTTCGCCATATATTATGATTACATGTGGGATTCCTTCGTCAGTTTGTTTGATGAGATTCAATACTTAGTGAACATATAAAACGTAAAAAAGCGAGTCTTACTTTGAAAACGGACAATGGCAATCGACAAAGAGAACAAACAGAAATAAATATTCCCTTCGGGGAAAAACTGTGTTGGCTTTTTGTTCGATTCTAGAATGAAACTATACATAAGTAAATAATAAAAGCACATCGATTGTACTGAGATATAATATTGCTAAAAGCAAGTGTACAGTGTCGATAAGTGAACCTTTGTTCATATGCAAACCGCTATACAGCTCGTTGGCCAACTAGATATTGTGATTATAGATGGCGCTTTATTCGAACGCACTTTGCATATTCATCTATATATTTCTGAAGAATTTATCGAGCGATCATAGTAATACGAGCTTTCGTGCCGTTTGTAAATCACTTAAAATTGCTTTTGATAATCAGTTGATGAGGACAGTACTTAGAATAGTCATTGGTATGAAACCATAGTCAATCCGACAAATTCCGACATCCAGACCATCTTGGATCCGGAAGGTTCCAAGTGTCGGAAACATCCGGATCCTAGAATCGGATTCCTGAATGTTTCGACTGGCGGAATATATCAGAAACTAAAGGATCTATATGGGAATCCGATCGTCGGAATCTCGTCGGATCCAACCAACGGATTAGGCCGGCTATTGCAGGGATCCGATAGGATCCTGAGGGGTGGTTTCGCCCTGGGATGTTTTCAGGTCAAGTGTCTTTTCGTGATTTTGGATGGATTTTCGTTTATGATCTACGAATCAGTATTCATTACTGTGTGCATTTCAGAAAAGTTATTTTAATTAAAAATCTGCTGTTTTTTATCCGTTTAAATCAGTATATTTACTTATTGGAAATGGCGTGGTTTTTTGTCATTGATGGATGTATTGCTTTTGTAACCGCTTTTGCTGCTGGGAAAATTTCGAAAGAGATCAATGATGTAGCACGGAGTTTGATCTATAGTCTGGGTGAAGTGGCTGATGATTGTCTTAACATACTTGTATCTAGTGGCGTATCCAGGATTCGACCGGTGGTCTGGCAATGCCTTACAAAAATTTTAAAAACTTACTAAACCACTTGACAATTATCTAATAGTTCAAAAGCAAGTTTTTTTTAGGAAAAAATTAATTTAGTACGAAACAAACTCATTAAAAGACACTGTATGAATAAATAGTTTAGCCTGTGCAAACTCAATTGTGCACGAGAAATAATTAATTTTTTAAACAAGCAGTAACCCAAGACCGCAAGAAGTCGGAAAAATAGAGCGAACGTTGGTATTTCCTGCAAAACTTTCAGGGAACTATTGGAATTCTGAAGTATTTTCGGAAATTCTTTCAGAATCTTGGAAGATTTTTTTTCAAAAATTCTGCTGTTTTTTTACGGTTTTCGAAGATTTCTTAGCCTTGTGAACAAAAATTTCAGAAAATTGGCAAGCAGGAGAAACGAAATTTCCAAAGCATGCCAGAACATTGCGGTCCCAACAACGTCTCTATTGTGACACCTCTGACGCCAATAGTCTGTGTTCTATGTTCAATTATTCCCTACTCGATTTGGCTAACTTCAATTTTAGTCGACCAGCTCAAAATGACGCATCTTCTCTTTAAATTTGATAAAGTAATAGTTTGTTCATAGCTTAGAAACGTGATTACTTTGGCAACGATGTGAGTAAATCTTCAGACAAGTCCTACTTGTGGTTATACTAAAGGAGCTAGCGACATTCTATTCGCAGACCTCGCTTTGAGACGCGGAGTCAATCATTAAAATTCGGAATAGGAACTAAATAACAGAGAAAACTGAGTTATTCTAACAACCTACGGCTGTTTCTATCTTGAGCCACAAAAAAAATCAATTATATTGTAATAATCCCTGTAATAATCTCTCCCAGTGACTATAAGAATAAAAGGCTTAGCATGAAATCTACCATGCTACTCGATAAAGTACCTATTTGATATATGTCTTATATCGCTGAATTTGCGTTCCGTATTTGTCAACGATTTAGAGAAAATAAAAGATACAGCACTACTTGTATCACTAACTCTTCGCATCGCCATCACGATCTGCTTGTTCTCTTTTCTGAAAGAAAGGGTTATACAGTGGTTTTACGTAGCACAACTTCCACTAAGTCACCGAAAAATGCTCTCCGTTTAGTAAAATGTGCACAATCGAATGTTCAAAATTTCGCTTCTTTTTCTTCTCGTCTTCATCCCTTAGTATAACTTTAAAAAGTTTCGGCAACCTTTGTTTGATAGTGGCAGAAACAATAGTATAAATGATGGCAAAGAAAATGAGACAAATCGTCATGATGTGCATTTAGAAATTGCTCGAATATTCCTGATTAATTGGTTGTTATCGCTTTGACTTCAAGAAGGAGAGCGGATGACATTAGTCAAATCGTTGTCAACTAACCAAGATACAACAAATGTGAACTCGTTCAGCAATATGTTTCTTCATTGAACTAAATAAACAATGTGAGAGGAAGGATCGCTTTCATAAGAAGAGTCTATCTAGGAATGCCAAGTGATCGAATAACTGAAGCACTGAAAAATATTGGTTTCAAAGTAACGAGAATTCTTTAATTAACAAGCAAAGATGGAAAGGCAGCAGTATAATAGTTGAATATAACACTTCTTCCTCTACACATATATGCACATATGATCATCGCATCTTGTGGATCAGTTCTTCTTCTCTGTCCATAACAAGAATAAACGTAGCGAAGCTCGAAGGCGCTGACAACTTCACATATACACTCCACTATCAGGATACGAATAAATTATATCTACATATTTACAGAAAACTAATATGTGTATACCGGTGATCCATTGTTTATAGACATGAAAATTTTGCAGCTCGTTAGGGATCTCTTATCATTTTCTCTTCTTCGCGATCATTTTAACGATGATACAATGCTAGACTTTGCAGCGGCAAAATGAATGAACAGGCAGTTTACAGATCCGTTTACAAACTTTTTAGTCGTCTTCATAAACGAAAGTTGTTATACGTTCTATTAGCTGCGATATATTAGACATCAAAGAGAACAGAACAAAACAGTTCCTTGTTTGCTTTAGATTCAAACTGCTTTTCTTACTTCGTGTTTTTCTGCATATAACAAAATTTTAAAATTCCAAAAAAGAGATTATCAACTAGGACAACAAATTTTTCCAAACCATTTCGTGAGTTTAATTAGTTTACGTTATCTACAACAGCGATCTATATCATTGTTGAATTCTTAATGTTGTATGTTTATTACTGAAAAAGAAAACGAAGGACATATAGAGGAGTTTTTAAACATGTGAATCATTAATTAACAATTTTGTGATTTATCGAGCAGTTCGAGACCTGCCCTCGTTCAACTCAATACTAAATTAACTGCGAATGAGTCTGATTTTGAAAAGAAATTTATCTGCCTCACGACTTTTGCTGACATCTATTCTTTTATTGAAATATATTTCATAATAATACCACCTTCATGACAACCCTAGAACATTCGTATGATTCAGAGAAGAAACAAATATGAGAACAATGTGTATATTTGAATGAAATATCATAATTTCTTTTAGTTCGAGCTGTCTCATTTTCAAATAAAAGGTTTACACAGATATTCTCCAATTACTTTACACGTATAATCAACTTTTTTTCTTATTTAAATTAAAAATTATAGTTCCACAAATATTGTGCCAAACATCGAATGACTGGTAATATTGGAACAGATCCTAATTCGAATAATTTGTAATACGCAACGGGATTATCATAATTACAAGGTGTTAAACCTGGATTTTCTTGGTTTAATTTAATCAGTTTCAAATAGAGTTTCATTTATTAAATGAAAAAGACACATTAGAAGTAAATATCAATATATAAGAAGAGAAGTTCATAGTCATATTAATTTTAGTCGACGAAATCGAAAGTGAAGTTTCAGAAAATTTTATTATGGTGAAAGACCACTGAAACTATCGAGATAAAGATAACCAACCTGGTCAGTTGGCTCATAATCTGCTGCAAGAACCGTTAATCTGAAATCATGACCAAAACGAGTATTATCGATAGCTAAGTGTTCTGATTGCCAAGCAGGTGTATAAAAATAATTATCTTTCTGTTGAAAGCGATTATCAACACTGCTTCCTGTTGCTCCAGCATCATAACGACGTAAAATTAAACTTTCCTTTGTAGTTAAATCATTTAATTGAACTACAACTAAACTTGATTCATTTGACGAATGGTTTCCATTTTGTAAAACAGCCAACCATGAAAAATAAATATCCAAACAATAATAATTGTTGACTTGACGACTAATCACCGATGTATAACCTCCTTTTACCAAATCTTCGACACGAAACGAGTATTGACCTCCTTCGACAATACCTGGCATTAAATTACCGAGAGTTGGATCGCTTCCATTAGTGACGATTGATGAATGTGATGTTGCGATGCTGGTATTATAAAATGTTCCACCTGGTAAAAAGTATTCGGGTAAAATTTCAGATGAGGAGATGGATGATCGTAAACCACCACCAACAGTCCAACCAGAAGTAGTTCCGGATTCAAAGTCACCATTATCGAAACTAACCAATGAACATGCTGAGAAAAAAAATCAAAGATCTTTGAAAATTAGCTCAGGAAAGAACAAAGAACGCACTCTGACAGAATTTAACTCGACATTGATCACTTAAACAGTCATCACTGGTATTACAAGCTTTACCGTTGCTGCATTTAGGACAAATCGAACCACCGCAATCGACATCAGTCTCATCTTGATTCTTTATTTGATCTTGGCACGAAGGCGATGCTGAAACGACACTAACTTCTTATAAATCTACAATAAACAAGAGTTGAATACTTACGAATACATTTGTTATTTATACAAACACCGCTGATACAGTCAGATGGAATATTACAAGTCTTCATATCCTGACATTTCTGACAAACGCCGCCGCCGCAATCGATGTCGGTCTCGTTTCGGTTCCGAATTTGATCCCAACACGAAAGCGATGCTGAAATAACACAAAATCGTGTTGTATGAAAGGACAAGACGGTGTAATACTTACGAATACATATATTATTAATACACATACCACTGAGACAGTCATTGGGGGAAGTGCATTTTTGCATATCTCGACATTTAGGACAATTGAAACCTCCACAATCAATGTCAGATTCATCTTGATTTTTCGTTCGATCAGTACAACATGGATCTATAGAATATAGTATCACCTCAAAATATAAATCTCAGTCTCAAACATACCCTTTTGTCTTGGTTTATGACTATCTTCTAAACTGGAAGAATCAATCTCTCTCGTGATTCTACCGCTGATCACGACGAAGTAGGAAAAAGAGCAAAGCACCAACAAGATCAATGGTTTTGAACTGTAAACAAGAAAAAGAGAAAAGATATCGAACATAGTAGTAATCAAATCAAAACTTATTACCTGAACAGCATATTTTTAGCGACGATTTTCTATTGTAATTCAATCTAAAAAACAATTTCATCGAAAAAATCGTTCAATATTGAAGATGTTTTGCAGTTCGATCTTCAATACTCGTATCGACGACGAAGAAAAAGACTTTTCGTCTTTAACTTTTACATCTAATCACAGTATGTTTCACAAATACTTCATAATCTATAGAGGATATGATTTGAAGGTGAATGTTTGGTTTAAATTTTTGTGAAAAGATCAGCATTTTCGGCGATACTTTCTTTTTCAAGAAATACACCTGAAAAAACACTTTTTACCTACTTTCTCTTCCACACGAAATGCTCGTGATTTGAAAACAAGACAAGAAGCAATATTAGCCTTGAAATTTTGTGTATTCATACAAGTTTGTGTAATCAGCGTGACTAATCCCAATTGTTTTACTACATATGAATATCTTTGACGAAAATAGAACTAAAGTTGCAATTTTCTCCGTTGTTTTTTTTTCCACCAAACAAACACATATTGATACATTCGGCGAAAGAAACGTTCACGTTTGTTTTTTCTTCTCTTGTGTCAATGAGTTTCTTTTGCGGCGAATACTTCTACAGTTACTTTCTTTTTCGTACGTACAGAACAAAATTGAAAATATCTATTCGACACAATATTTTAAGAAAAATTTCGATTCGAAATACGATTGAAATTAATAATTTTCGTCTCTTCGATTTTACTAATCATCCATTGTTTGTTCATATTCATCACACTTCTTTGTCTGTTTTAAATTTACTAATTAACGTTGACATGTTATTTTCTTACTAAAACGAGCCTTCATATAAAATGAGAGAAAGTATCTGATTGTGAATAAATAATAAAGATAGAGGTGGTATTTACACTTCATTTCGAGTGCTTCGTAAAGAAATTATTAATTTCTTTTTTCCTCGGTTACAGAAAATGTCATTTTCAATAGGAAAGCTAGATGTAACGGCACACGTTCGATAGAATAGTTTGAATAATATCTAAAGAGTACGTATTGATAAAGTCTCAAAATATTATCTTCAATTTTCGAATGAACATCATTGCGCTAGAATTCGATCTGGAAACCAATTATTCCTCATCAGCTCTCAATTATCTCTTCAGATTTAATCCGTTTTCCTTTGAATCTAATATAAAAGTGAAATTTAGATTCGAATATCATCCATCATGGTCGTCGGGTAAGCACTTTTGAATCTACAACGAAACCTTTCATACATTTTCATAGATTTAAATTGTTACTTTGCATGATGATCTCTCATTCTTATTATCTAACTTGTGTTCAAACTCGTATGGTTATCACAGTTGATTCATCGAGCTCTGAAGAATCTTCTCCAACGAATGACGGAGGTTTGTTCCATTCAGATTTTCTTCGAGTCTCATTAGTCATTCTTTTGCTTTTTACAGTTTTTCATTGTACGGATCGGATGAGAAATCAAGATGAGTCTGATATTGATTGCGGAGGTCTCGAGTGTCCAAGATGTCAAGATTTATGGCGCTGTAAAACATGCTATGATTGTATGAGTAATCTATGTCAAAACAACGTATGTGTTGGTAAGTTTTGTACCATTATTCTGTCATTTACATTAATAGTAGGATGAATGTGCCAGAAAAATCGATTCTGGCTCTAATCAATCACTTCTCTCAATTCTCACTACTAAAGCAAATTGAAACTTACAAAGATATACACGAGTTTAAGATTAGGTAATATCAAACCGAATGCGGTCCTTGTGAATGGAAGTAAAAAAATCTATATTTATCCTCATGATTGTTTAGTGTATGATTCATAAAACAGACACTAATAGAAATGATGCTCTACCAAGATATTTTCAATATTAAGAGATCGATAGACTTGTCCTATAATTCCTAATAGGTACGCCACAGGTAGATACAACAACCACTACGATCGTTATTACCACTCAATCAACTGCTCCTTCGCCTATAAGTACAACTACCGCTAAGCCCATCACTACGCACACGCTACCAACGACGTTGCTCACAAACACAACTTTAACAACTACAAGAGTAATCTCAGAAACTTCAACGACCACCTCAATCATTCCAGAATCGACTACATCCACTAGATCAACCAATTCAGAACCGAGCACAACAGCTGCTTCAAATACTTCGGGACCTAGTACTACAACCACTTCAACTGCTCCAGAATCAAGCACAATCACCACGTCAGTCACTCCGGAATCGAGCACTACGACTGTTTCGAGTACTTTAAAGGCGAGTAATACATCTGCTTACAATGCTGCCGAGAATAGCATCACAATCAGTTCAACAATTTCAGAGTTCACCACGACAACTTCAACGCCAATGGTACAAATTAAAAATACAACTTTAAGAACGTTAGAGCCCACCTGGACAACTTCAACCTCAACATCAATGTTATCGTCGGTAAATACAACTTTAACAACACAAATTGTACCATTGGAAACAGCGTCGAGGAACTCGGGTCTAACCCATTTTAGCACGTTGCATAGTTTCTCTATTGCGCTATGTATATATACGACAGTTTCCGTATGTGTGCCTTGATTTTTCAGTCTCATATGACGGATTTTCATTTTCTTTCACAAACTTGTCTTATTTCATCACAGTGCACCCTTTCTTTGTTGGTGCTAAACTACACGATGTTCTCATTTATACTTAGGATAATTCAAAAGTATAGTGAGGAACATGCAACATTGTGTTAAGAAGTCTGAAAAAGATTTTTTACTGCAGTGAATAGAACGTTTTTCGTTCTGAGCTACCTGTTCTAAGTTCAACTAAGAGTTTAACCCTTTGAGTCCCGGCGACGCATATATGCGTCCATAAATGCAGTTATTTGACAAAGATATTCCTGATATAGTTTTTAATTGTTTATAACGCCTCTCGCTCGTTTTATTTGATGGTACGACTCTAGAGTAATCCTCATTTCTTCCCTTTCTGCTTATTGATCATACGTATTTATATTCTATGCGCTTTCTTTCGTTCTGTATGATAATACACACTATCTCTTACTCTAGTACATTCCAATACAGTCACTAAAATGGTACAAGAGGCTATTTTTCCGTGTTTTGTATATGGCAGTATATAATGCATTTATTATTCACAAAATGCAGAACAATATTTCCTTTGATCTATCTGATTTTCGACTTGAAGTAATCAGACAAATTTTGACGAAGTATGAACCACAACGATCATCTATGATTGGGAGACCATCAACAGGAGATTCTTCTCTTCGTCTAACTGGTCGATATTTTCTTGCACTTATTCCACAAACATCGCAATCAAACCGACCTCGAAAAAAATGCATCACATAATATTCATAGTGGTGCACGATATATCTGTCCCGCTTGCGATGTATCTCTGTGTATCGTTGAATGCTTCAGAGACTACCATAGAAAGATGAACTATTAATGGCTGCTTGAGACAAATATGTAATTTTGTTTTTGAAGAAATAAAAACAATGTTTATAAATATCATTTAAAAAGTTCGATTTTCGCAAAAAAAGCCGGGACTGAAAGGGTTAACAAATATGTTGAATCTCGCAAATAAAAAATCAAATATTATATCATGTAGTTTAAATTAGAAACGACTGGAAAGCACTTTCGACTATATTGAAATCTGAGCAACTTCTTTGTATAATCGCATTAGGGCGTATTATGCTCGCACGAATGAGCACTGAGATATTCCATGGGCAATACCAAAGTTAACATGAAGAGCGAAGGACGAATGAATTCTGTTTTATCAGACAAATAACCCATCAGAAAGAAGTTTTTAGTTCAATTAAAAAGTATCGAACAATTGATTCATTACGAAAAAAAGATGTGATGAAGCATTGTTTTATAGTATATTTGTAACATTGGATTTGTTAAAACGAAGGTCTTGATATAACGAAAAAGAATTAATAAAAAAGAAAAGTTTTTCACAAAAAAAAATGTTGTTATTAAACTGGAAATATTAGGTTATTTGGTAATAATAGTTAAAAACAATTCCGTTTTAAAATTTATTCTAAGTGTTTTAAAAAGCATGCTTTCAAAAAAAAAGAATTTTTAAAGTCATGAGAATAGCTGTTTTAATTGCTATATAGTATATAGACCATATATTCTGTTAAGCACATCCACAGAATGTTCCCGTAGGAAAAGACGTTTCCTATTTTGCTCATTTCTGTCTCAGATTTGATTCATTTTATAATGGATACAAGTAACGCGAACTCTGTTATATACGAAGTTAAATTCATTATTCTGATTACTTTACAAATCCCAGGCATACTACTCATGATCTTCATTTTCCTATTCTTTACATTACATCCCTATACACTAAAAAAACTTCAAAATCAAGCACTGTTCATCTTACTTATAACCAATTCGATAAGATTAATAGGCACAATGCCAATGCCTATTGATTTCTATCGTCGCGGATATATTTTTCTAGCAACATCTGCTTATTGTACATGTTGGACATTCCTCGAATATTCATTAGCTGTAATCGGTGAATACCTCATGGCTACTATTTCTGTCCAACGGCATGTAACAATCTTTCACCCAAACATATTTCAAACATTTAAGAAATCTATTTTGTTCTTTTATCTACCTTTGGCGTTTTCTGTTGCATACCCGATAATATTTTATGTATATGCTGTTCTTTTGTATCCATGTGACGGCGCCCAATGGGACTATTCAATCATTGCCTGTGGTTATATGAACTGCTATTACAATAATAATAAACTTGCTGTGTTCGATTGGGTAGTGCACAATATTTTACCAATTGTAGTTATCATTTTGGCTAATGTGACACTAATCACGAGAGTTATTGTTGGAAAACTTCGTCGGAATCAAGCTATCCATTGGCGTCAACAGAGAACCATGACTTTACAGTTGTTAAGCATATCCAGTTTGTATGTAGTTGCATGGTCACCTACGATTATCGTCGGACTTATTCAACAAGCAACTTCAATCAACTTTGGAGATGTTCAAGCAGCTTACATAACAGATCTTATTTATTTATCTTGTCTGCTATTACCTTGGGTATGTCTGGGCCAATTACCTGAATTCAGAAAATGGATGTGGAAATATATGCGTTGGAAGCGAGTAAAACACGCTTCCATTGCTCCATTGTGAATCACTTTATCCAAGATTATCATTTTATCTAAAGATGAACATGGTGTATTCTAATAAAACATTACTTCTTCATCTAACAAACTACGTTGTAGTGAAGAGTCGTTGTAAATGCGTGTTTGAGCTATCACGAACATTTTTCTCAAATAGAATAAGCGGACATATCTTGCACCGTTGTAGATTAGTCTCATATCTCACTGTTTTGTGTGTTGCTGCCGAGAAATTCTTTTCCGTATTCGACAGCAGTAATTCATCATTAAATTACACATAGAAACGCTTGTATTATCAATCTTCAGAGTACCGGAATAGGATTTCCGATAGTAACCAAATCGAGAAGTTATACTGAGCTTCCGGAAAGTATCTCTTATAAAGAGCGTATGATACACTTTTGAGAATTAGTTTTATTGAAAAAGATCTTCAAGCAAAACGAACGAGAGGAGTTGGTTGAAATCGAAGATACCAAGAAGCAATAGATTTGCGTCCAGTCATGTAAATGAGATGTTTCTTATTTACCGAATCGTATTCGACTTGATCAACGTAAAACTGGTATCCGGGCATGAGCAGAACCTCCTGTTCATCTGGGAACTTTGAGAGAAAGGCAATGTCAGTATGTGCTTGATACCTCGACTTCATCAAACGAATAATGAATATTGCGTTTCCACCGAATTGTTCCGCGACTCGAAAATCTCTTGTTGTCGATGTAAACGCGTAATAGGTAATAGGATGACCGAGAGCTTCTTGATAACCTTCAATCATTCCTGGTAAAAGCGTTGTGCCACGATAGACGGTCAGTTCAGGTAGATTGATACTATGTTTCAATGTATATTGCCACAAAAGAATATAAAACGATCCTAACGTGGCGACTTTGCTCAAATCTTGGTTTCTCAATGTTGCGTTAAGCAATTTATACAAAAATGTTTCCTCAGAGTAGAGACGCACCACACACTGGTGGGTCTCACGCTCAGTTTTGTGCACACACTCTCTTAGTTCTGCAGCCATTTGTTCAGCTTGGAGTTCTTGATTTAAACGTCTTCCTTCAACTAAAATTCCTATTGCGAAAAAAGCACTGATATTACTGTGTAAGATTATGGAAACAACTTTTCATACCGTTAGCAGCTCGTTTAGCAAGATATTTATGTTCGCTCTCTCGATAAAGAGGAAATGATCTCTGATTGTCAGCAAGTGCCTGCCCTTGAAACTGCCCGTATTTCCGTCCGGCTGCAAACGATTTGACTGCTGGTTCAGGAAAATTGAATCGCTCTCCCCTTCCTAAACCATTGGTGATGATACTGCTGATGCCACCGTCACCACCGATCGGGCCAGGTTTCGGAACTGGTTGAGTAATATTTGAAGTTGTACTTGTTCCAGATCCCATCCTATGTTAGACGCGAAAATCTAGTTCAGCCGTGACAAAAATGATCAAGACTGAGTTTGAATCAATAGTCTACAAGGAACTTGTTGCCAGAAGTCCTTCTCAAGATTCTGCGTATAAGACGAGATGCAATACATATTCATAAAATGTTTGAAAATATGATTTCTAGATCCTCATTAACAATCCTAGAGGAACAACAGAAATATAATTACTACAACAAGTACGTTTATTATTCTTCAATGCAAATATGCACTGATCTTGTTTTCATCAAGTTTCAATTCTCAGAAGTAATCAATAAAAGTTGCTTTGAAACATTCGTTTTCAACTTACCTCGTTCTTTGTCACGAACTACTGCTGCTGTTATTGCTTTTCGAAAAACATAGTTCTATTTCTCCTTCACCTTGCATTTTTATATAAGCACACATTTCAGAAGGGAGCAAAAAAGGAAGCAATCGATTATTTACTCTGTTTCGTGGGTAGTAAATTACATGATTTTGGCAAAATTCCATTTTTCTTCGATTCTGTTTGCACAAGTATGGCACAATAAATTCATCATTGACGTCATGCATGCACCATCGAGATGTTCACATATACATTTTCAAACAAACCAGATCTCTGTTATACCTCTATCGTGATCTGACGTGTTACTCATTTACAATAACACTGTCGTTATCTCTCAATGATATGCATCTAATATGGAGCACGAAAGCATGAATGATTTCGTAGAATAAGAAAAAAGTCCTTGCAGAACGAAATGAGTTGTAATTCTTTCATGATGCGCGAAGTGCTACAGAGTATGAATACAAATGAAGGTGTGAGTTCATATTAATCAACCACGTTCACATTGTGACCTGTGGAAAGATGTCTGTGAATATCACTCGAAAAAATTTTCTGCTAAGAGTATTGCGGCGACTGGCATTCGTGTATGAATGCAACCAAAGTTGTAATTGAAAAGAATAAAATAAAAGTAGAAAGAAGAATTCAAACTGAAGTGTTCAATTATTCGTTTGTCATTGATAATGATGGTTCGATGAACGAGACGCAGTCGACTGGTAGTTTCTATCATTGATATAGTGACTTGAGGCATTCTGCTGTGCAGCATCATCCGATCGTTCCTCGCCAAAAACAAGACCACTAATAGTGCTCAATATTTTAGTCAGTTTTTTTTGTCGTTTCTTTTCGCAAACGACAATAACGTTAGGTGACGCTGACATCTGATCAAGCAATTCTTTGTTCAGGTCATTTTCTATGAATTGATCAGTCAATTGTTGAACAGCAACTGCATTTGAGTTCTCTTGCATCCTCTTGAGTTTTTCCATATTTCGAACATGTTCGGCGTCGATAACTTCCATCATTTCATCAAAACGCGTCTTATCATCTGCAAGATCACGCTTTGATTTTAGTGTCATAGTAGACAACTGATTTCTTTGTAAAGCTGTACTCAGTGTCTGTTTCTTGAAATGCTCAGCCTCTTGTGCCAACAACTGATCCTGTCGATATTTACTCTCCATTTTCAATCGAGAAATTTCATCACTCAATAGTTCGATATCGCGTTTCCTTGTGTGATGAACGGGCTCACATTTTGATATTGCCTCGCATAGGAGATCATGGATATCTTTTTTACTTTTCTCTGATGTTGATTTTTCGACAAAGTATATATGACTTTTGTCTGTAGAGGTAAGTTCTTCAAGTAATTGTGCAGTTTTCTCTTCATAACCATCAGGTCGGCCCGACGGGACCGCATTGACGATAAGAAGCAACGATTCAGTCGGAAAATCATACGCATCATTAATTCGCTTGAACGCAACTAAATCTTCGTCTGGTATGCGTCCATTGTTTAGTCCAAACACGAAGAGAACGACTGCCCAAGGACATTGCTCAAATGCTTTCATAATTTCCATACGATTTTCATCAATTAATTTCTGATTTGCCTCAACCAAACCGGGAATATTCGCCACAGAAAAGGTATATCTTCCAATATTTGTTGACATGTCTTTCCATTCTGTATGACGAGTAACAGATTGCGCGGAGAATCGGCTCTCAAATGCTTCGTCATCGTTGAGTAATCGATTTGCTAAGAAACTTTTCCCCACTCCACTATTTCCCAATAGAATCAGCCCATATGTCGTCGCCGATGCCATAAACAATTTCTATATCTAGAAGCACATAGGTGAAGAGGTTTGATTTTGATGAATGAAGCTAATCAATTCTTAGATCGGAAAAGACCTGAATATAAAAGGATAGAAACTTTTTATTCTCTAATTTAAGATTAATCAGTGATGCACGCGGCGATCATCACGAAATTAGAAAAAAGTAGGAAGAGAAAAAGCGAACGATCACCTAAAAAATATTGGTGTTCATAATATAGCGCATCCGTGCTTCCCTCCTCCTTCCTCTGCCGTCCGATATACGACTTGCGGTGATCGTTTCGTAAGATCCGTTATTTGTTGCCTCAGCTGTGCTTGCGCTTGGTTCGACTGTTCTAAAGCTTGTCGAATCAATGCAGTATCGGCATTGTTTTTGTTCGTCATTTCTTGTATCATAGTCTGATGGTCCGCTTGCATTCGTACTAGACGCTCTTGCATCTGTCGGACTTGTTCCGTCTGTCTTTCTCTCATTGCTATTGCTTCCTCAGCTTGTTGATCAATAATACGCTGAAAACGCTCGCTCTCCATTTTCTGTTGAATAACGAGATCATCGTATCGTAGTTGCTGGATACGAATTTCATTTTGGAATTCAGTTTTATTTTGATCAAATGCATCTTTCATATTTTGGATCTGCTGTTTGAGCATTGCGACTTCATCAGCTTGTAAATGAATGTCATGTTCTTTTCTGTGTTCTCTCGGCGACAGCTCGAAGATAGCACCTAGAAATTGATTTCTCAACGCTACTCGTTCTTCAATGTTTTGTGGATTGATGTGATTTAGAAAGCACATTCTTCTTTCTGAAACTTGTCTTGCAATAATATCTTGTACCATGAGTATTACTTCACCTTCATAATTCGTTGACCGATTTGCTGGTAATGCATTGACTACCATTAAGAGTGACTCCGGATTTAACGGATATGCTTCGTTGATGGCATTAAATGCAACAACATCTTCGTTACGTATGCGGCCGAATTGGTGTCCAAATACATAGATAATAAGCGAGTTTGGTCGCTGTTGAAATGCATAATCGATTTCACGTTTGTTGATGTTGACACGACTCTAACAAATTAGAAAGTACAAACATTTTCACATCTGTCTATGTTAAAGAAAACTCGCTCAGAAGGAACACGTCCTATTCTGCTTGATTTTGTCGAAATGTAGAAAATATCATACCTGATCGGCTTCAATCAAGCCGGGAATATTAAAGATGGCGTAGTCATTATTATCAATTGTAATCTCTTGATATTCTGTTCGATGTGTAACAGATTGACCAGAAAATTCATGTTTAAATTCTTCTCTACCAAGTAAAATATTAGCCAAGAAACTTTTTCCAACACCGCTATTTCCAAGAATGATCAAACCAAACTTATTATCGTAATTTCTGGCCATATATGTAAACCTCGATGAAAAAATATATCACAAGTCTTCGATGTTTGTTGAGTAGACGTCGTTTCTTTTATCGTTTGTATCTCCTTATATACTCTCGGTGCAGAATGAATAATATCATAAGCAAAAAACAACTTTGAGCGTTGATAAAGATAAGAAGAAGAAATATTACAGAATTCATGACGTTTTCTCCGACTTGCTGCGACGCATCCATTTACGAGAAGAAAATCGTTGTAGACGCACGACTTTAGGATTTTTCTTTTTCTCCAATTCAATATTTTATCACACTGACTCAAGTCAAGTTTATTTACTATAGATAATCAAGCAAGGCCATCTTAATAGAACTCTTTTCATAGATTCGCTTTGAGAGGCACAAACGTAACATTATTATTGCTTGCAAAGATTCTTCACAGGATATTTACATGATGATATCACAGGAAACAAGAGATATATATGCATTAATTATTGTTGGAAATAGTGGTGTGGGTAAGAGCGTTTTAGGAAACATTATTTTGGGTAGACAATATTTCAAGCATGATTTTTCTGCTCGATCCGTAACACATCAGACTGAGTCGATAATATGTCAACTGGGTGATAAATATTATAGAATTTATAACGTTCCTGGTTTGATTGAAGGTGACGAAGAACGCATTGCTCTAAACCGACGTGAAGTCAGCAGAGCATTTGAGGAACAGACGGAACATTCTCTTGTGATTATTTATGTATTTGGACATCAGAACGGAAGAATTCGAAATGAAGATGTTGTTACGTTTCGAGCTATTCACAATGCTTATACATTCAGTCCGGATTCATTAATAACCGTCGTTAACGGACTATCTCCTGATCGACCCAGCACATACGATAAAGAAACTCAAGCTACACTTATTGGTTTACTCGGTATGCAACCAGGTCGCATTTGTTTCATCAATCATTTGAAATTAGATGGGACACAAGAAGCAGATGTGCGAACATGTCTAATCGATACTATTCTAAGCGTTCGCCCTGAAGTACATACTAAAAATAACGATATGAATTTGATGATCGAAGGTGTTCGTGGACTTGAAGCTGCACTCAATAAGTTGCAGATTGAGGTGGAAAGTGAACGACATGAACATGAAGCCGTGATAGCAAGTATGGAAAGAGAATATGAAGCAACTCAACGTTTATTAAGTGAGACTATTCGAACGAATACTTTGTTTTCATTTGATTATTTCAGCTCTACGACGTTTATTCGGTCAAGCCAAAGCCAATCTTCGTCGACTAGAAAGTTTTCGAGAGCAACAAGAACACTTAATATATATGTTAGGACAATGGGAAGCAGAAGAAATCGTGTACGCAGATCATCCTTCATCTGACCATTTTATTCTTGCAAGAACGAATAAACAAGACGCTGAAGAAGAATTAGCCAAAAATTTAACCACACAACATCAAATTGATGTTGCACTAAATGTTTGCCGAGGAGATATCGAACAAATTTGTTATGAACTCGGGCAGATTTACAATGGGAACCTTGATCGTGAATATTACATTCTTTTTGATAATTTGCGTTTTGATTCAACTATTGTTAATGTCAAACATAGTTTTCTCAATGATTTATACAAATTTACATGTCACCATTTCGGTGATATTGATTAGCGAAATCAAAAAACAGAGATTTTGCGGTGAACGACTGTAATACATTTATTTTGATAAATTTTACATGAGTACAACTTTCAATTATTCGTACAGAATGAGAACAATATTATCGATAGCACCATTATGATACGTGCCGCTCGTGCGAATGAACTGAACGAAAGTCTCAAAAGAACGAGTGCCACTTGGCACAGACCCATTCGCTTGTCGAAAAAGAAGCGAAGTTATATCACCACGATCTGACGCTCGTACTGGTCCAATGGCCGTAATATTGCCAATCATTTGGTTTGATTGATTGTAAAACACCAGTAATGCTTGAGCATAGTCATCTTGATAGCTATAACCACCGATCCAAGCTGAAAAATTGAACCGAACTGTTTGATTATCGATGAGAGAATAAAAATAACTTGTGAAGTTTCGTTTTTGCCACATTGTTGTCGTGGAACTGATTTGGCCATAAAAATGACAATTACCACGATCACTAGGAAAATAAAAGTTTCATCAGATAATTTATCCAACTTTATGTCTCACCTTGGTCCAGGATCGGTAGTTAGTTGAGATGAGGATGGATTGTTATAGTATACCTGTGTGACTGTTCCGTTATGATTCCAATCAGTTGGACTTACAACACTACTATCGGATGCACATGGACCTGTTTCGGCATCACCATTGATGATCCAGTTTCTTTCGCTTACTATAAACAAAGTTGTGTGCGAGAAACAAACAACATTGTATTGACGATACTTACTAGCTGATAATTGTCGATTGTCAATCGCAGTCATAGTTACAACATTTTCATTTGTTATCATTTGACCATATTGTCGAACAATATCAATGAATAATTCACATTGAAGATTTGATTGATCAAAAATCGCTGTCCGACAGTTTGTATTAATTAAACAAGCTGATTGACAAGATCTTAAACTTGGTGTGACAACAGTTGTGAATGGTGAACATTGCGGATCAACACATAGATATCGCACGTTGTAGAAAATTGATAAAACTATTGTATGTGAATTCTTCGCCAATGACTGATTGATAACGATTGAAAGAGATAATAAAAGTATAGACTTCATGTTTGAACTGGAAGAAAGTATTCTCAATGAACCAGTTATAGTTGATTTTGTTCCTATTTCCGAGGTGTATGAAAAGAAAAGGAACTTGAAGATAAAAATGAGAAAGGAAACTCAAGTGACTCAACAGATCTGAAGATGAGACATCGCTCTGATTTGCACTGCTGATGGAAGTGTTTGAGAGTTGTTCAAATAAATAACCGTCCATCACACTACCAGTAATGATAAACTTCACCGTTAAGATGACACACACATTAAAATCTATACTTAACTCAAAGAGATGGAAGACAAAGGAAATGATTAAATGTTTGAAAATAAAGATGTGACTTAACACTGTAGTAAACAGATCAGAAATGAGAAATTCTCGTTTCGTTCTTCGATGACATATGTTTGTGTCTGTATTAAAGCAGTAGTCAGTCACACATTTTATACTTATGATCGAAAATGGATTTTTACAACAACAGTGAGTACGCATTTTGAAAGCAAATCAAATTACCATTCTACACGTTGATCTTGAGGGTGTGGGTGAAATACACCCAGATCCCTCTTACGGATTCTCATAATGACGTTTTCTTGGGCCAAAGCAATCATACATATAGTTGACTGTTTTATGGCGCTATGTATTACGGAGCTATATCGGCCCTGACCATTGCCAGACCTTACCCAACATCTCAGATTATTGATCTGCTTTTCACTCACAACTACTATCTTGATCCGTTCTCACGTATACCCTTATACTTTGATTGTTCGGAGAAAAATCAAAGTATTGACTTAAAGCCGTAACAAAATTCTTTTGTTGATAAGAATAGCTGGAAGAATAATGCGCGTGTACGAAGAATGTCGTTACACAGCTTTTTATCTGTGTGTTGTTATTTATGAAGTAGAATAATAAAACCTTTCTGT